GTAATATCCAGATCTGAAGGGATGCAGGAACCTGAAGTAGCATGAATCATTGTCAGCACTCTCTGATATGGAATCTTCTTATCCATGTAGGCATTTATCAATACCTTTCCGTTCGGTGGAATAAGGATTCTGGATGACTCAGCTGACTTCAGTACTGCTAATCTGTTTCTGTTTCTCTCTAGTTGTCTATTCCTCAAGGTAAGACATCTGAACGTCAAATACCAAGGAGTGTGTATGTCTGCTTTCTGTAGAAATCTGGTACCATACTCTGACTTTGTAATCTTCATCAGGTTATCCAGTAGATTGATACCTAAAAGTACTGGTACTCGTGAATTGTACTTGCTATCAGGAACAACCAAAAATAAACACTGCTTCAATACATCAAGAGATGAAAGTCCATAAGTGGCTAAGTCTACTACGATAAATCCACTGTAAGGCATCAACTGCCCATCTGCACACTCAATATCTATATGCTCATCTAATGGATGCAACTCTGTTGTTCCCTGCAGATGTGTGGTATAAAATGACTGGGATATTGTAGAAACAGTTGCACCAGTATCGAGTAATGCCAAACATGATATTCCATTTATAGCCACTTGTACTTCATTGGCTGTCCCTACTATTTGCGAGCTGATGGGACCACGGTGTTGTCGGCCAGACCCTTGTCCCCAGGATTCGGCCATCTGTAGTTTAAATTCCTCCTGTGGTCTACCCTTACTCGACAACCAATTGCGATGTGGCCCTCCTGTCCACATTTATAACATACAACACTACCACTCCTCCGAGGCATCTGTTGTCCTTGATCAACATCAGAGACTCTTGGTTCAGGCATTCTGAGAGTATAACCTCTACCACGACCTGAGAACTGTCCTCTTCCTCTCTGATAGAGATGTCTACCTCTGTAGTTACTTGATCCATAAGAGGGTGGATTGTAGTAAGATTTTTGTGTCGTTCTCAGCTGATTTATTTGAGCCTGCAGGGCTTCAAACTTACTTTCCAAAGTGCTCGTTGTCTCAGGCTGAGATACTCCTGCTTTTGCAATTGCTGGCTTTGACTTCACTTTTCCTTGGGCTGGATGTTCAGTCTCTATTTTCCTGATTTCCACCCGTAGCTTGTCGAAGTCGTTGATTGAATGGTACAGGTGTCCGCAAATATCTTTCAAATCGTGTCTGAGTCCTTTATAAAACATAGTGCGAAGCATCTCATTTGCTGCACTATTCTGAACTTTACCCATCTTCATCGCCTTGCATAAAATATCCTCAAGACGGCAACTCCATGCGGAACAAGTCTCATCATCCTTTTGTTTTGCGCTGTAGAATTCAGCCAAAATATCCTCTTTCTCTAACACGTTTCCATAAATACTGTCCAACTTACACAGGATTTCTTGCACACTTACACCTACACCTAATCTCATGATGACTTTGGCTGCTTCCCCTTTGACGGAACGTCGGATGGCTTGAAGAATGGACTCCTCAGAATGAGACTCTTTCATAAGACAAACAACCTCATACTTCCAAAGTTCATATGAGTCCTTTTCATCACCAGAAAACACTGAGATCCTCAAAGGTGCTTTATAGTAGGAGCCGGTAGGTAACGGTGGTGGCAATGTTGGTGCTTGTGTGGTAGGAAATTTCAGTTCCTTTTTAGCCTGTGGCTGATGTTCCTGTAAAGCTAACCATGATGTGAAGCTGTCTGGTTTTATCTTCATTTTCTCTAATGTGGCATACAGATTTTTCCACTCTTTCTCTGATACTTCGCTAGCCGTAGCTCCTTTATCAGCTTCTGTCTCAGGTGAAGTATCTGTTTTACTTGCGTCTCCTTCGGATTTCGGCATGTTGTACAGTAATGATGAAATAAACAAAAATATAATCAGAATAGGAGGGTAGTTCAGCATGAACTAATCATGGGGGATTAACAAATAACAAAGTATTATTTACAGGTGGGAGTTCATGACAGAACCATAAACTGATAAAATGGGCTTGTTTCAAATATTTAAAACGAATGAATATTGCCGATAGGTAGTTCCCTAGTAAATATGTATGACTATGAATGCTTTTCAAATAGACTCAAGATATATTTCAATTGAGTACTAGATATTTCAACGAATGAATAATGATATGTTCTACTTAATGAAATCAAAAAATCAGCTGACTGAAATTCAAAAGCTGAAATAAAGAAAAGTTAACGACAAATAATTACCTGAAAGAGATAATGACTTTCAATACCTTTGTAGCTGTACTTCAAATGACTTTAAATGAATAATGAACAACAAACACTGGGAAAATAAGGCAAATTTCAATATTTGTTTACCAAATCACGTTGTCTAAACTTACTTCCGGTCAAAATAAATTACGCGGATTTCGAACTCGATCGGAAATGCGCAATCGGAAAAAGAAACCGATCTCGATCAAATTGCGGGACGAACCCGATGTAAATAAGTATTAAATAAATGAAAATCAATGAAGTATAAGGTGAGCACTACACTAATCAATAAAACAAGCAAATGTAATAATAAAACTTATTTAAATCAACCCTCCAACAACTCTGAAAACTGCACAACTTAGAACCAAAGGATATAATTCACCTGTACACAAATACAAACACTTTACCAAGAAAACTATTCAACTGTGATGTCTGTAATATAATTTGTCAAAAAGTCACTGTCAAAAGAGATAGAATTATTTATTAATTTACTTACATTTTAGTAATTCAAGGGTACCTGGATCTCTGGATATGTGAATTTGTGATACCTCACTTACCAATCTGGCACTCAGCTGTCAAACTTTTAAAACTAACCTTTACACTTAAAACTAAATTAATCAAAAATTTTCAATACCAAGGGTACCCAATAAATATTTAAATTTCAAAAATACAATAGGCTTGCAAGCAGAAAGAAAAAGAAAAAAATAATAATTATAGAGCTCTAAGTATACAGGTAAACAGTTCTAACAGTAACACTCACCAATCAGCTGATAAAATCACTTGTAGAAAATACACACCATATATGGCACAAAACACAAAGCACAAAACACAAATAATACAAAGAATGAATAATGAGTCACCAAATTGTCCAAAGGTGGGTCTTGACGGTTATGTACTCGACAAAGGTGGTGTCGACGGAATGTACCGGTACTGTCACTATCAGTCACTACATCATCGTAACATAGTATGGTACGCGTACATCACACATCACAGTCCGTCCATCCGTGAATAGGATCTACACTATGGTACGGACACTGGTCAGGCAGACTGTTCACTATGGATATCAGAAATGGCGTTAGGATGCTGGTTGTTGCAGAGAGGGTCTCACTGTCTGTCCCAAGGGTCTCACTGCACTGTCTATCCCAAGGGTCCCAACGTGGGCGCCAAATTTGTAACAGGGTTATGGAATCGTAATAACGAAAACACCTGTCAGGGTTCGACACACTGTTTATTAATGGTTGTAGATATAAATATATTCACTATTGCCCTGAAATAAATAATAACAATATTGAGTAAAATCATAAAATCATTAATGCACAATTCAATATTATACACAATGCTGCATAAAGGGAGGTAACTCTTACATTCATTACACATCTTGGATATAATATAATATCTCCCTTAGAATTTACACTTTGTGCATACAATTAAAATACTTTACAACAAAATATATATTACTATTAAAGCTATAATATCTTCATAGACATTATGTACCTTTTTCTTATAAACAATAAATCATAAAAACAATAGCATACCATTCTGAGGGAATAGGCAAGCTCCCATATGGTTTATCACACAACTACAGTATATGGCTGGGAGTCCAGATGATAACTATAAATTATCATAAACCTTACATAATTCTCTGATCATAAAACACATATGTACATATTATCTGGATCATAAAAATACCTTTAACTTTACTGCTAATAACTAAGTAAAAATCTGACTTCCAAAATCTCTCTTACTGTGCAAAAGTGCTATGGAAATTAATATTGCAGAAATTACAGATTTCACATTTAATGAACTATATATTAAAGATATGTTAAAGTTTGTAAATAAATATTAACTTACCAGAAGATGAAGAGAGTCACAGTCAGAATGTCAAATAGTCAAATTCTGTCACAACCAAATCAATGGAACCTCTCTATCAACAATCTGGACAAAGAATGACCAGAAAGACCAAGAACACTTTGGAGGGAATTTGACAAACCAATAAAACACAAGAACACAAAACTAAAACCCAATAGAAACAAATGACTTATAGAACTTATGGCCAGGACCTTAATTATATCCTTAAAGGCAAATAACAGGGTAGCACTGTCTGTTACACCTGAATGGCCATACACTTACCTAATAAGCTGAAATAAAAAATATATACAAATAGGATACAAAAAATAATTTGATATTCATTAATTAATTAGAAATTAATTAATAAATCATCACTCTTACAAGTACTTAAACCAGAAAATGTGTAGTTATTTTTCTTTAAAAGATTATTACATATTTAGTTTTTGGTAAAAAATAGTTCATCACTAAACATCGGTTCTAAAATTCAAGATCAATGTTGACTATATAATTCATTGTGAGTATATGACTTAAAAATTCATGTCACACTTAAATTACAATATTTTTAAATAATCAATGCTTATCAGATAAAAACTATTGTTTTTTTTTAACTACAACAATTTCTTGGATTAGCAAGAAATTTTTGATAAAATCTGTTAAGAAATGTTGTCATACCAGCGATTTTACAAAATATTGTTTTCAATGAAATATATAAAGAAAAAATAAAATTATCTTCACTTTTGGCACACAACTGTACATCATGCAAACATTGTATGAATGTCTTGGTAAATGTGTACAGATCTGATCAATTTCATTTAACACTCAATGCACTTTAATTTCAATTTACACTTAATGCCCTAATGTTTCAATCAACATTCTAAAATACATGGGGTGCTTGTGCTTTAGTTTATTATACTACATTGAGTGCATTAATTTATATATTTGCAGCAAAGTTCAGATTCAATCATGGATGACCAAAACATCCCAGATCCTGACTTGCTGTTTTCCTCAGAGGACGAGAAGACATTTGGATCAGAGTCAGAGCTGCCTTCTCTGCCTTTGCCAGATCTCAATCATACATTACAGAGATATCTAGAGTCAGGTGAGATATCTACAGTCACACGTTATAGAGATATCCAGAATCAGGTGAGATATCTATTACAGCTATAGATCTCAATCACACACTATATAGATATTTGGAATCTTTTATAAAGAATAATACATTGCAAAATCTTTCATCACACTCCATATCAATCCAATATCAGCTTGAGAGCCGAAGGCCAGAGAACTGATATTGGTCGAGGGTTGATATGGGGTATGACACATATTTTTTCCTGTATTGTTGTTTTTATTATACATTATACATTATTGACAGGGTACATGGGGTATGAGGGCACATGATTTGTTGGACCTGAAGGTGAAAATGTTGCCCAAGGTCACAGGTCAAAGGCAACATTTTCACCTTCAGGTCCAACAAATCATATGTTGCCCTAATCCCAGTCTATAACTGTTTTGTTATATCCTTCAGTGCTCACTTAAGATTTAATCAATACACACTATATTATCAATTTCTTTATATAGAAAATTATGGCTTAATCCATAAATATAAAACAATAGCTGAGAAAGAACAAAATTAATTATATTTTTATTATATCACAAAACACACTCTTCCCTTTAGCATCTTCCTTACCTTGCTGGTTGTAACAACTCTTGCAGCTCTTCGCGGGTATGTTAAGGAAGCATATAAGTCAGTTCTCGGAAAATTTAGACTTTTATAGAAAATTTAGTTTGATAAATTACTAAAACCGCTGATAAACGTCAACTGTTATTAACTATTGAATACAGATAAAAGAGTGTCTAAAATAAAGACGTGCACCACTGACACAGGATCACGTGACCTCTATTTATAGCGAAAATTTCCTTAATTAAAAGGCTAATAGAACAACAATACCCCGGAGTTTAATAATTTCTTTGAGTAAATAATATAGTAGAAAAACATCTATTTTGCCTAGAAAGTGCTGCTAGAATCCCACTGTCCTGTCAGTAAAATAATTATGCCACACATTCGCACAAAACCATACCCTGTGTTTTAAATTTTATACATATCAACCGAGATTTTTCGTAAAATCATGCTTAACTCGGGATTCTAGCAGCACTTTCCAAGTTTGTCAGAAGGCAAACTTTCCATCTGTACAAATCTTATGTTTTTAAATATCCAGCTTATTGTTGTTCTGCTGCATAATTTTTGTCACAAATGACAGAGGAAAGTCCGACCGGGATACGTATATAGCCGACTGTCTTTGAAAGAGAATATCATCGATGAATAAAAATTAGCATACCTGTTTTCTTAACTGAAATCCATATGAATTTTACATAAAATTAATGATATTTGCTTTTAAACTTCATTTCACGTATCTTTGTACAAGCCGTCGTAGCCAAATTCTCTTAACACGACATGATCAATTCCTAAGTTACTTGATGTACACAAATGACGTCATCGGTGGTAGATTTTAATAAAAATGTCAGATACAGCATAACAAAATAAAAAACATTTTATTTTTGTTAATGTTTACACGTTTCTATTCATTTTCTAGAGTTAAATAACATCTCTAAATACCAATATTACGAAAACTTGTGTTTTAAAATTGACGTCATCTTGCTTACTATGACGTCATAATGTAAGTTAAACACTGATTTAGTCAAGGTAGAATATTTTGTATGCTTCCTTATCACCCCTGCGTTAACTTCGGCTATTTCCGTGTCGCCGATATTGAACAATAATTAATTACTTGTGATGTTGCGGTCTAACAATTCTTATGTTGGACCAGCAGGTCAGTCAACAGTGAAATTGTTAGACAGATGTAATAAACATTTCTTTTGTTCAACTTTTTATTAGTAATAAATATACAGAAAGCTATTTATAAGCCGGTATAACAATTGAAACAAATTAACATTGTGACATCATTTAATGTTCATTTGACATCAGTTATTAGGCTCCATGTGTGTTCAGATGGAAAACAACATATTAACAAATGAAAAATAAATAACATCTTGCTAAAATTAAATATCGCTAAAAATTTATTGCATTGTAGTTATTATCTAAACAATAAAATGTTTTCTTTTGTTGTTATTACTGGAATTAACGGAAGCAGCTGTTGCAGAAAAAATACATAACCCGCGTAAGTGGGTTATGTAAATTTTTTCTGCAATAGCTGCGACTGTTAATTCCAGTAATAACAAACAAAGAAGGACATTTTATTGTTTATATTTATATCTGTTTAATTAATCATTTAAAGTAGGATTAAAAAGATTAATTATTGTATTAATGATGCGAACGTCTTTATACGTTTCATTGATGGAACAGCCACTGATCAAGAAATCTGTAAAGGCGACATCCCTAATGTAGTTCATGCAGTGATTAAAGCAATGGGTTTTCTTAAGAAATAAAGGAGAAAATATTCAGTGGATGTAAATATAGCTACATAAGAGAGCATTTTGAAATCACTTAAATTGTGTCTCACTAAAATTTCCACTTATACGATATATCAAATATATGATAAAATCCTTTATTTTTATTTAAGTAAAACCACATGTAACAGATGAGGAGTATAGACAAACAGAATTCATTGCTCAACAGTTTGCCTCTGGTGTCGGAAAGGAGCTTCACAAAAAACTAGAGGAGAAAGCTCATAGTGAGAGAAACTGGGTAGGTGTGCAAGTCCCCTGATAAACTGTTTCTATACCAAGGCTCTCAAGGTTATTTTGCATTTATTTACTTACCAGATTATACACAACTATAAATACATTGAAACATTACTTTTTTATGAGGTACTTTGTATCCTCAAATAATGTTCAATTTTTGAAAACCTACTGTGAACTTAACTGCAAACCAAAATATACATTTAATACATATGTATGAAATATGTGAAGATATCAAACAGGATTCGAGCTCAATTTAAGTCTACAAAACATTACAAAATAGAAATGGAGCAAACAAACCTGATACAATGTAACAGTATAATATCTCAGACAAGATTTGACAAAATAGTCAATGACCCACATTTGCCTTAAATTTTGAAGATTTAAAAATAGATATGAATAATTTAACTCTTTTGTTATTTCTTTTAAAAAAAATTCACGTCCCTCATGTTCTTTTTTTTCAGTTAGAGAAATGGTGGGAGGAGAAGGGATATCTAGAATTAGGTATTCCCCTGGCCCCCTTCATGAACCTGATTGGTATAGGCCCCTATTACAATCATTACTGGACCCCCAAGCCAGGGACTCAGTTAGAAAGGGCGGGAATGGTACTCCATTATGACACCAAGTTCTGGCAGTTCATCAGAAGGTACTGTAAACCAACTTTTATTTGTGACGACTATATTTCCTGACTTGCCAGATGTAATCTAGTTTTGTAACTATTAATTTTTGCAATCAAGCCTTTTTTAGGATCTGTTGTTTATAGATGCAGAGACTTTAAGGACCAGTTTGCTACAAGAAATATTTGCAATGACGAGGCTCTCGCCAACCTCAAGAAAATTTCTTGCAATCGAATAAAATCAAATAAAAATTGGTTTACAATAATGGCATGAAGCATGCTAATGTGCTAAATGATTAAATAATTTATTAATTGAATTTCACAGGGAGACTCTGAAAGTGGAAGTAGACAATAAAGGGAGAAAACTCTGTATGAACCAGTTTAGGAGAGCCTTCTCCACCTGTAGAATACCAGGGGTTTTCAGAGATCAACTGATTTCTTACCTCAAGACAGGTAAAATATTTACCGGTAGTAAGGATTACCATTTCATCTGTGCTGTCATCAAGAAAGGGTTAAAAACAAACTTCAAACATATGTCCGAATTGGTTTCTCTTTTGTTGATGTATGATATAATTCATTCTTTTTATATACATAGAAATCTCAAGTAAATAAAGGTTTCCCATGACTGTTGATGGAAAACTTCAGCATTTACTCAGTACTAAAGGGAATGTCAGAAGTTTCATGAGTTCTAATCCATTATGCATATATGTGTTCTCACTGTAAACTTTGTGCATACATTATCCTACAACCAGTATATTAAATTTATGTTGAAGTACATCTTGAATATACCACTTAAAAGTTCATTGAAATGAGTATAAAAACAAAGAGGAGATCAAGTTTTTAATTGTCAATCTGCACTGATATGAAAAATGAATGTGTTTTTTCGTGCGTGGTGCTTTTTGCAAAGTTATGCGATAATTAATTCCTCCTATAAATTTAAGGAGTATACATTATCCAGCAATCAGTACAATCATTTTAAATTTTTTTAGACCTACTTGTAGAAGATATATTTCATAATTATGAGAATATAAGCAAAGAGGAGAGTCTTACATTGTGTTTCACTGATATTTTGCAAACAGAATCTGAGGGACCCACCCCCCTTCATGCTGTGGTGCTCTACAAGGGGCGGTTCTTCTGCTTCGATGTTGTGGACCAGAATGAGGAACCACTCAGACCCCCCGAGATACAGCGTCAGCTGACCTTGATTAAAGACCGGTGTGAGAGGGAACCCCCAGGCGTAGGACTAGGGGCTCTTACAGGGGAAACAAGGAAGAAATGGGCAGAGGTTTGTAAAAAAATATCCTACTTACCATAAAGAGATATATATTTCTTATCTGTAGCATAACAGTTTGATTTAAAATTGATATCAATCAACACATGCCCATGTGAAACCTGTTTATTTATCAAAATTGGCCATATTTTTACTTGAAATTTAACTCCAAAGCAAGCTTAATTAATTCAGATTTGTTTTTCTTAATTCAAGTTTGTTTCAGTGCTTGCATGCATGCAAAAATGTATATTTTAATACATCCAAGATTACAAATTGCTTTATTTTGACCTATACCTGTCCTGTAATGAATTTTAATAATTTTTTAACAGTTTACATGTATTTAGAACATAGCCTTGTTAAGATATCTGATAAAATTGTTAATTTTACAGATCAGAAGTCGGCTTTGTGCTTTGCATCCAGAGAACTTTCACAATCTTAAGAAAATTGAGACCAGTATATTTACCATCACACTTGATGATTATGAGCCGAAAGACAACTCAGAGGCAAGTCCAAAGATATTCTCTAAATTCCTATGATTATACTTTTACAGAAACCTTTATATATATTTTTCTGCTGTGTACATTTAATATTTATTTCCCAAATTGGAAAAACAATTTGACATTTAAGTTCATTTTCTAGAAATTTGGACTGTTTTGCAGTGCCTTACACCTGCATGTAAAACTGTTACCATTTTTTTCCCCCTTTTCTTTCAGTTATTTACTTACTCAGGGGGAGGGACCAATTCCAGAGACAGATGGTTTGATAAATGTGTCAACCATATCTTCTATAAAAATGGCATGTGTGCATGCAACTGTGATGTAAGTCAATTTTTCAATTTTTCTGTATCTTTCTTTTATAAAATTGCCAAAATACCAATAATGATGAAAACTTCTATTCTGATACTTCATTGTGAAGTCTGTAAACTTAATTTTCAGTCCTATTGTACTATTTTCCATTTCTGTAACACTTTGTAATCCAATATCATGTCTCCTAATGCATGGTGGATAGAAAAGAAAATGTTTTTGCCCTCTCCAGACTCAGGGCCATTTTTAGAAAATCTTTTTTCCAGAAAATTTCAACATCTTTGTTGACAGAATAGGAGGGAAAAAACAAAAATCCTATCATGGTATGTATAAAAAAAAATGTTTGAGTCGGGCCATTTTTAGTCAGTCAGTTGGGAGAGGGCATGCAACCAAACAATTTTTTATAGATGGCCTTACATGTACACAGGTTTAACTGTTTTTGGACCTTTTTTTCAGCATGCTCCTTTTGACGGGATGGTCATGGTGACAAGTACTTACTATATTGACCTTAATGTGAGAAGGTCAAAGGGCAAGTGGCAGGTAAATAATTAATAGAGAAAAATCAATTTATGTTCAGGTAATAATTAACTGTTACTAATAAATTTTCATAGTTGTGAAGTAGATGTAAAATAAATTGTGCAAATCCTCTTCAGCAGGTTATTGTATCAATTATTTTTTTTGTTTCTAGTGTTTTAATATCTGTTTAAACATTTATTTTGCTATTCTTATAGGGTTCTATGGAAATTAGAGACCTACCAAAACCAACGGAATTAAAATTCCATGTTGACAATGTCATTATTGAGGCCGTTCTTGCAGCTGAGAAATTCTTCTTAGCTAATGTAAGTGAACCCTGTCCCAATTTCCTTGTCTTTTCTATTAGATCATAATATACTAAACATTATTTTGTAAAAAAATAGTTTTTTTTGTTTTTGCTACACATTATAACCCCTGCCAAATGCAAAATGGCAAATTTCAATATGAGAGTTACAACTTTCTTTTTTTCAGTAGACATTCTAACTTACAATTTTATATCAAGTTCACTTCCTTTTTTGTAGGCAAGTGCCCTTTCATGTACAACATTTAAATATACAAGATATGGCAAGAAAAAGTTACGGAAATACAAACATCACCCTGATACCCATGTACAACTGGCTCTGCAATATGCTTACTACAAAACACACAACAAGTAAGAGAGGATATTGTTACTGTAAATAACCAATTTTTTTCGTGATACCTTATTTTTGCAAGTTATATATTTGGTACTTATAAAGAGACAAAATTTTCACGAATGTTGCTTGTTGCTCTTTATATATCCAAAGATAATAATAATATATGCATGAATAAGAATATGCAAGCAGATTGTCACAAAATATAGTTGTCACAAATAAAAAGTAATTTACAGTGCATGTTTATATTAATTACATATAATACTCATTGTGTGTTATTTTAGTATTTTACATGTAACACAGTTGTAGAATTGTCATTAGAATTTAAAATAAAATGTAATAACTGTACATGTAATTTCAGTTATAAAATAAAAATCTTGCAATTTTTTTTAGATTTAAAAATATGTGATAAATCCCGGTAGTGTATATAGTTTGCTTATTCCTTGGCCCTGTATGTATATAGCCTGGAACCCTGTGTGTATATAGTTTTCTAATTTGGATTTTTTAAATAAAACTAGAGGTACTGTGAGTAATGAGCTCACTAACCCCCCGCTTCCCATATGATTATAATGGAAAAATATATATAGGTGCACAATTTTTTGAAAGTTTCATTAAATTTCACTCAGTGGTATCAAATTTGGCTTACCTAACAGACAGACGGACGGACAGATGGACAAAAAAAATATTCCACTTTTAGCGGAGGGTATCTAATTAAATGATAAATATGTGACACAAATGTTTGATAAATGTTTACATGGAGACAGTTTTATTTAATACTTATGCAGACCAGCTCCAGTGTATGAGACTGCCACCACCAGGAGATTTTACCACAGTCGAACAGAAACTTTACGATCGTGTACTGTAGAGGCAGTAGAATTCTGTAAAGCCATGTGTGATCCTAAGGCTTCAGTAAGTTCTCAATCCTATAACAAGCTATACTCATATAGTGTATGTATAATAATATCTTCATTTTATGTTGGCTTAAAACAAAAGAAATGTGTACATACAATAGTGGCAATTTTGAATGTAATGCATGATTTTGGCCTAAATCATATAGGATACACTAAATTTTTAACAGATTAGACTTCAGTGACTCAAAGAAAAGACACTATACATTTCCATGTTGACTCAAAACAAAAGAAATTTGTACATGCAATCCAACTTGGTTCAGATTTAGATTTTAAATGTAATGCAAGTTGATATGATTTTGGCTTAAATCAATACGATGCCGCTAACACAAGTACATGTAATACGATATTAACCACTTCATAAAAAATTGTCTTTCTCTCCTTAATTTCTACATTAAGTATACAATATTTGTTTCCCTTTCATTCCTCTTATCTCGTCAACAACTATGTTAAAGTTTTCTTTTAAAAAAAAAAGATTTTTCCACCTAACCTATAGACCCTATAATTTTACCCAGAGTTGGGAGAGGGCAAGCAAACATTCTTTTGAAGATGGCCTAAGGATAACAAAAAAAAGTCCAAAAAAGATCAACCAAAACGTTATAATGTATTAGAAAAGATTACAGATAAAATAAAATGTATAGAACTTGCTTATTATATAGATGTATGGACTGTCAATTTAAGGATTTTGTTTTCGAATCTCAAAGAGGACGTTTGACTCTATCTGGTATGAATTTTACTTGTGGCTCTAGTTGAGAAAATCTTAGAAAATGCCTTGTTTGTCTATCCAAATTCTCTCAACCAAAGAGCTACTGTTCTGCAGCTACATAAAGTTAGTATTAATGTATGAATCTCTATTATAAGGCAATTGCATTTGTGGCTTATTAATATATAATTTAGTTGTACATGTACTGTATTCTAGACTTGGACACAAATTATTAGTCAGAGTTTTGATTTCATTATCATGAGATAACAAAGTCACTTTTTTAGGTTCAAGAACAAAAGTTTGCATACACAAAAGCAGCACATAAACATAACAAGTTAATGGATGAAGCAAAAGAACTGAAAGGTATATCCATAGTAGTCGAAAAGGAAGATCATCATTTTAAATAAATAATTTGTCTGTGCTATCAATCTGTAATAAATATTTTAAAAGATTTTTTGAAATATACATGTGAATAATTTTTTTTTGTCTGTAAAGAAAAGTTAATTTTGGGGGTTTTTTACATTGCCCAAAAGTTGTATCCTTTTTTGAAAAGAAAAATTAATAATTGAAAAATTTTTATGCATACCCAGGATGTGACAGACATTTGCTTGGTTTGGCAACAATAGCTGAGGAACTAGGCATACCAAAACCACTTCTGTTCCAAGATAAATCATTCACAAAAAGGCAAGTCAGACCCAAAATGGGTCTTATACCCCAAGTGTTTTTAAAAAAGTAAACTCAGCTTTTTATATAGTCTAATTGCATTGAATAAGATCTTTATTTAAACTTTTTACCTTTTAATTCCTTGAGGTATATAAAGTACTTGTTAAAGGCTAGATAGGCTGCCCTGTTGCACCAATCTCAGTAATTTTATATTATCCCCCCCCCTCAATGAAGGGAGGGCATATTGCTTAACTACTGTCTGACGGTCAACCATGAGTTTCCATTCATTTTCTTTGCAGAGGTTGCTCATATTGAAATGAAATTTGGTATACAGATTAATCATAAGAATATCTACGTCAAGTTCTCTTTTCATTTCTTCACAGAGGTTGCACATATTGAAATGAAATTTGGTATACAGATTTATTGTACAAATATCTAGGTCAAGTTTTGTTTAGGGTACGATCGAGCCTTTATTGTCAGAGTAAAAGCACCTTGGAATTAGAAAAAAAATACAATTATTTGGGGGAGGCGGGCATAAGTGGTTTACAAACAACTCTTGTTCATTTATTTTTCAGTGGCGGGGGAGGAAATTTTGAGTTATCCACTAGTTTTATAGGTTACACTTCCGTGTTTGGGGGCGTGGCTGCAATGACCAATGATGGATATGGCTGTTTCTATCACATGGAACAAAACTAGTGAGTATCACGTGGAGTGGAAGTAGAATAAATGCATAGTTTAAATTTGTTTGTACTTGTAGCATATCCTATATAAAATTAAATGATTTTATTGTTCTGAGTAATCTGTTGAAACATTTCAAACATTGCATAGAGATCTTTAAATCCAGCAGAAAACTGTACAAAAATTTTGAGAAATTCATCAAGATATCCAAGGATTACAGATACTGATGGTAAAATACTTTAAGAATAAGTGGTTGGGAGTTCCTGATCACTTTGACTTACATGTATCTATGGTATTCCAAATATTGGTATTTGATATATGAAAAGTCAAATACATTTGAAAACTTTTATGAAAAGGTGTTAGTAAATGTTTTTACCCTCTCCGTCATTGACAGCATTGAGATGGTAGTAACAACATGGAGAACTAGTAAGATTGCAAGCTCAGAGAAATTTGCTCAAATCATTCAGGAATGTTTGGACGACTTGGATGGATTGGTGTTATCAGATACACCAATGACGGCTAAACTTTGATACTGTCAAACAACAATTGACATTGGCAATATTTTTAAACTTTTTGTTTTTTTTTAATTGTTATGAAAAAACGGGAAAAAAATTACTTTTTAATAATATTGAAGAATAATCTATGTTAATTATTTGTGGCCAAAGGTGGATTACAAGTCCAACAGATAAAACAATGACTTCAAACTACCTCTAACTGTTATGAAGATAGAAAAATCCTTAATATGTATCTGTTGAAAGTAACTGTTAAAAGTAAAATGAGAAAAACAATCCTGTGATTTTTAATAAAAAATTGTTTTGTCTTGTCACATTTCTTTTACTCTACTTCTGATTCTACTTTTTCATCTACATTTATTTTTATTCATTTTATATAACAATACTTTTATTGTGAGGATAATCTGTAACTTGCAGCCTTTTAATGAAAATTGTAATTGTGTTCCAAATGCAAATGTTAAAATGAATGGTTATCATGCAGCATCCGGTGAAAATTAAAATCTGTTCTTACTTCTGTAATTTATTATGATTCTGTATTGATTAAAAATGCACTATTTATCACTCATATATTATTAATTTATATAATGAACACATGATGAATGTAAACATGAATACATATCTTTTAAAAAAAAATGATCTATAAATTTTTAAGTTATATTATTTTATATGATTGTAGATACAATGAATTACACATGCACTTTGATTCTTTTTATTCTTTTATCGACTTACTTATATATTTTTAACTTGAATGTTTTCTTTCTGATCAGACATGTAATTTTGATATTAATTGTAAGGCCTAGCATAAGATCATTGGTTGATTAGAGATTAATTGGGCAATGCAATATCAGGATGTAAATTTTTAAACTTACCATATAAGCCCTATTTATGCATAGAATTAAAATACATCAAACTTCTTTTACATGTATTATTATGATTTTAAATAGACATCTATTGATAGTTAATATAAATTAATTTTTCTTCAGCAATTTCTCCATGAACTGTATCTTTATATTTGTCACAAATGCTATTTCATTAAGGTATAAAATTTAGAATTTCTATTATCATTTTCTTGTTGGCAATCAAAAGAATCATGGTGAAAATATATTTACATGTATATGGAAAGGTAGAGATACTTAACACATGAAGTACTGTGTTTGAATTATAATATTGTGCACATATCAATGCAGGGTTTTACTTCTGTGTATTACAGAGACCAAAATAAAGCTCTTTCATACTTTATTTTTGCCCTTGTTTTTCTCTTTCAAGATATATGATATGTTGCTGAAAGCTAGGCAGAAAGGACATGTATTTCATTCTGTTGGTTTACAAAATTTATTAAAAACTTCTCTCGTTAAAATTATACCTTCCAGTGATATGGAATGTTATTTGAAACCCTTAGACAAAAATATTAAACATTATTAAGCATTAATTTTTATATAATGTTAAACATATTTTTTAATTGTTCACAGCGTTGACATCGCTGTAACATTATGGAGAGCAGCTGAAAAATCGCTAGCTGAGAGAAATTTGCTCTCGACTTTAGGAAGGGTTGGACTGGTGTTGACATTACAACTATAAGCTCTGAGATTGATGTTTTCAACACTGTGAGAGAATGGCATGAAATATATTGTATATCTAGATTGAATCTCTAAGTCATTAGGAGTCAATGCTCATTAATGTTAATTATGGTCTAGTCTTTCAGAAATGCAAAGTTTTTAAGCCAAGAATTTCAATGATAATTTTTCCTTGAAAGGTTTAATTTACTAAAATCTTTCCGCTTTCCATGAACTTTTTTATCTTGAAAAGTAATTAAAAATGAAATATATATATATATATATATATATATATATATATATATATATATATATATATATATATATATATAAAATTTAGAATTTTTGTACTTGGCAATTAAAAGAATCAAGTTGAAAACATATACATGGATAGATAGAGGTATTTAGCACATGTAGTAATGTACTTGAAATTAAACTGTGCACACATCAATGCAGAGTCCAAAATAAAGCTTCTTAATATTTTATTTTTGCAGTTGTTTTTATCTTTCAAGATATGGTATGTTGCTTTAAATCAGGCAGAAAGGACGTAAATGTATATTTATTTCGTCCTGTTGGATACGGATCCCAAATACTGCTTCCATATTCCAGATGAGGTCTCACTTATAGTGCCAAGTATGCTTGACATATTTCATTTGGGAATCTCCCTAGATTTCTCCTGACAAATCCAAATGAGCTTGTTGCTTTTTTGGTTACATTCTTTATGTGATGGTCCCATGAGAGTGTTAATCTCAACTCCGATCCAAGATATGGATTATGGTCTACTTTATCCAGAACATGTTTTATCATATGATGAGGGAAGTCTATGATGTTTCGGTTTTTGAAGATTTGAAGAAAGTTATTCCTGTATTTGGTGGCATTAAAAACCATTTGCTATATTTATGACCATTGTATAAGAGATGTTAGGTCTTTCTGCGACGTTTCACAACCACTCTTGGAAGATACAGCAAGATATAATAAACTGTCATAAACAATCAGTCGGATAGTTGAGGTGATGTTATTACCAATGTCATTAATGTATAACAAAAACATCAGGGGGCAAAGGACTGTACCCTGAGGGACTCCAGACTTCACATGGACTGATGAAGATTCCTCACCATCTACAAGTACCCTCTGTTGCCTTGTTACAAGTCATGACTCTATCCAACTGTTGATTTTACCACTGATGCCATAATAGTCCAGTCTTAGAAGGAGTTTTTTATGAGACACTGTATGAAAAGCCTTGTGAAAGTCTTATATCAGGAGGTCTAACCTGCTGTTTTTGATCTAGGTTGAGAGAGATTTCTTCTACTGTTATAATAAGTTGTGATTCACATGATCTTTTTTGTCTGAATCAGGCTTGGGGCGAATTACATTGTAAAGTAATGCATTATATTACCTTTACTTCAACAATTTGGGCTTTAAATTACCATTACCATTACTCTATTTTCTTAAAGTGGTGCATTACATTACCATTACTTTAATTAGTAAAGTAATGCATTACCATCACTTTTGAAGGTTTTTAAAAATAGAAATTTATACAAAACTTTGCAATTTTTTTTCATAATATGCATCAACCCCCTTCAAAATTAAATATGATAAATGACAATTCAAATTTGATTTCAAGTACTTATATATATTACACTGTCAATAACGTAAATTTAGAAAGTTCAAACTTTTAAATTGTCAGTAATATAAAACATGTACAATATCCACTTTTTGAGTAACTATTGATGTCAAAAAGCAATTTAACTTTTTGGGGCACTTTAACCCCTGCCCAGATTATCTAATAATAAAGCATATATGCTATTTTGATCTAGTTCCTTGTGAAAAAAATAAATGGAATTTGACAAAGTTGTAAAAAGATAGACAGCTAGTATGTACATTTTGCACTGCTAAGCACAGTATGCCTGCATGTTTTTTATTTTCTTTGATACAATAGATTTTTCGTGGTCTGTTCGAACTAGACCAGCTCAATTAATGTTTTACAAACACAGTCAGGAGAAAGGGACTGGTAATTTGCAGCACTTCTCCAAACAATGCATTGTTTTAACTGTTAGATAACCCAGAGGCATCTTGTGTTTTTAATGACACTCTAGCTATTCAAAAGGTGGTAATTATCAGTTTACATTAATTAGTGTACCTTATACGCGATTTTTTTTTAAAGATTTTTTAAAACTGTCTGGTTTTTTTTATAATTCTTTGCAATAAATCTTATCGAAGATAAGTTTGAAAACTTAAGGAAGGTAAGTATACTCAACATAATAAAAAGTTTATTTAAATAGATACAGAAATTTTATTTATTAGATAGATTAACTTTTTTATTCAATTTTTTTTTTCATTTGCAAAAAATCAATCAACCAATCAATAAAAATATCTAAAACAATAATTTCCATGACCATTACAAGTTCATGTAATGCATTGCAATGCATTACCATTTCAATTAGCATTACCCCAAGCCTGGTCTGAATCCATGCTGAAATACCACTAGTATCATGGGTATATAATGTTTTTCAAGATGTTTCATAATGTGCTTGAATATGAATATGTTCCATTATTTTTGCAGGGAACTGATGTCAATGAAAATGGACGATAGTTTTCCGGTTTACTTTTGTCTCCCTTTTTTACAAAGAGCTATGATGTTCGCTGTCTTCCAATCACCAGGTACATTCTTTGTATGAGTTGTTTTCTTAAATAGGAATGTCAAGTATGGACCGATCTCCTTTGCAGCTTCTTTAGGATCCGACAGGATGTTTGGACTGGACCACTAGCCTTTGCTACATTAATACTCTGGAGCAACTCCTTCTTTGCTGATGTGTAAATTTCCAATGACTGGTGCTACTGGTGTTTCAAGGTCTGGTGTTGATTGGAGATCTTCCACTGTGAAAACTGATTCAAATTGGTTGTTTAATGGCTCAGCTTTCTGTTTGCTGCTTTCTAAACTTGTATTGTTTACCTTAAGTGTGGACCAATATTATCCTTCTTGGCATTTCTGACATGTGATCAAAATCTCTTGCTGATTGCAGCTTTCAAACTTGAGTTTTTGTCACTATTGGTCACATCTATTGTTGTGTTCAACAGGTTCCTAATGTATTCTTGATGTCCTTTCTCTAGTTCTGCTTTCGCTTGCCTGCGTAGTTCTCCAAAGTTTTCCCAGTCTTCCTCCTTTTTGCATGGTTTGTCTAGCTTTATTTTAGCATTTTTGTTTCCGTCCAACTAATTGCTTAATTGCTAGTGGTGTATTTGATGCCTTATTTGTTAAGTCTGTTGTTGAAGGGTCTGATGATGTTGATATATCAGACAATGAGTCAAATTGATTATGTGTTTCCAGTGGGTAAAGGAAAAAAAAGATTGTGTAACACTGCAATTAGGGCATTCCCATGAAATTAGTTTGTTGGTCTGATATTTTATGTACTTATTTGGAGATATACCAACCATGTTATTGTTAATACCACATTAAAGAAATAACCCCCAGAATACTGGTATATTCTGGTTAAAACCAATGTATCTCTCGTGTGTATGTATGTCCGTCTGTAAATTTTCACATTTTTGACTTCTCTAGATTTCAACCAAACTTGTCACAAAGTATCCTTGGGTGAAGGGGATATAAGTTTGTTCAAATGAAGAGTCACACCCTCTTCCACAGGGAGATAATTACGAATTAGTGAAAAATTAATGGCATCTTTTAAAAATATATCTCCTCAAGAACCACTAGCCTAAGACTAGGAAAGACGCAAAACTCATGCATGTGGAATCATCCTAGCTCAGGTACTATAGATTCAAGTTTGTTCAACACATGTTCCCCAGGGGTAGATTTGGGCCACACTGGACAAGCAAGATTAAATGCATCTCGTTAAATAACTGCTCCATTTTTCCCCAAACGACATTCTAGAGAACGACTTGGTTTTTTTTTCTTTCATTTTAAAATGAAAGTTGTAGATTTTGAGTTCAAGAACTGTAACGGAGTATGGTTCAACTTTGACTTGGTTGTCAGAGGGATGAATATAGTGGTCGATAATTGAATCTTCATAAGTATACTAATTATTTTTCAAGCAAAGCATTCAGATAAAGGGAAATGCATTCCACTTTATATTATGAAAACTTAGTCTTTATGCCTAAACATGCTGAAAGCGAAAGTAGGCTTAGCCCTCTTTTAACTTTTTAAATTCAGCTGTTTTTGTAGTCCCGTGTGAGGATAGTGTATTTAGTTATTGTGTGTTATTTATTTCCTATCTTAATTTGATGATTAAAACTAAAATCAACTGAAATTTGCAGTTTTTTATGTACATGGTAATTTAATGCCTTAATTGGGTTATATTTAAGAAACCGAACAGACCAGAAGTAGTGAATATCTGCACAGGTCTGATCAATCTGTCTGTTAATATTTCAATCAACACTTTTAAAGACATAAAAGAACACCCAATGCAATAAAATCAACATTCAACCATAAAACAGGGGGTCTTTGTGCTTTAATATATATTAGAATACTGTAATCATACGTTTGCAGTTGAGATTCAATCATGGATGACCAAAACATCCCAGATCCAGACTTGCTGTTTTCCTCAGAGGACGAGAAGACATTTGGATCAGAGTCACAGCTGCCCTCTCTTCCTTTGCCAGATCTCAATCATACATTACAGAGATATCTGGAATCAGGTAAGATGGGGGTTACATACATATCTTAATCACACATTTCAAAAATATTTATAGTTTGCAGAAGAATTTCCCGATGACGTTTCGTAAACATCATCCGAAATCACCTTTTTATATTAATTATCGTTCACAATTTTACTAGCAACTGGATTTTCTTAGCACAAATCTTCACTTTGATTGAAATTTTTACTAGACACATTTTTATTCACATTATCATATGATACTTTCACAGATTCCTTGGAATTAAACTTTCAAATGAGACACATTTCGTTTGTTAGTAATGAACCCCCGCCTTGGATTCTAACACAACACCATTTCCATGTTTCTCGACAACTTTGAAGGGATCACTATAGTATATCGCAGAATATTGTTTTTCCTTTTTATTCATCAAAGCAATGTTTTATGTCACTAAATGTAGCTCCTCTCTTATCATCAGAGTACATCTTCCCTTTAGCCTTCTTCTCTTCATACATGTACCTTAGACTATCTCTAACTTAAATTGTAATCTGTATACTAGTAACTATACATGTGGGTAAGCATTAGGGTTAGGGTTAGAGTTAGGGTTAGGGTTAGGTTTAGAGCTAGAGTTAAGGTTAGGGTTAGCCTGCTAAGGTTAGGTCAGGGTTAGGGTTAATCTGCAAGGGTAAAAGGGATGCATTAGGGTTAGGGTTGGAGTAGGGGTTAAGGTTAGGGCCAGGATTAGGGTTAGGCTCAAGCTGCAAGGGTTAGGGTTAAGGATATGGTTAGTGTAAGAGCTAGGTGGGTATCTGGTAATTTTGTACGAATAACTCGGCGGAACAACTCAGTCGGACTCACTCCTGTTGTTGTATGTTGTGAGGAGCGATACACCAGCACTTAAATCTGAAGTTCAGATACCAAATCTTTCTTTTCTGCTTGTGCAATATTCGATCTCTTCATAATTGATCTGTTCTGATTCTTAATTTCTCCATTGGCCTGTGACCACATCGGGGTGATCTTCCTATGAATGATTCAATTTATTTCACAGTATGTTTTAAAATATCCACTAAGAAATTGTGGTCCGTTGTCTAATTAAAGCAGGTACCCATGTGTACTAAAAATCTTTGCCAACACATCCACCATTTTCTCCGCTGCTGTAGATTTCATGACAGCCAAATCAATCCTTCTGGAATAATAATCAACGATAAGAAAAAAAATGAAGTCTCCGGATGGCAACGGCCTTAGAAAATCAGCCGCTAAATGATCCCATGGTCGTGATGATAGTTTTGTTCTGTGAATTGCAATTGGTTCCACTTTTTCAGGTAATAAAACTAGCTGACGACCACAACAAGATTTGTTCAACTTTTCAATGTCTTGGTCCATTTTAGGCCACCGAACCTGGAATCGCAAAAAAAAAAAAATGCTGCTTTATGATGACAATTCCAAGATGTCCCGCATAAACCGTCGCTCGCGTGACACAGTGGTTCTAGAGTCGCGAAGTAAAGAAATGATCCTTTCGTCGCGGGTTTGAATCCCACTGTGGAACGTGGAGACCGTATAAACCGAGGTCACATGTCGCAGTACTGGCTGTTTTCCTCAGGTACTGGCACGAAAAAGATCCCTCCCTGCTCAATGGCCCTTATTGCCGAGCATAGCACAAAATATGCAGCTCTCCACCGGCAAGTGGTAGCGTTTCCATTTGAGGGAAACATTTTCGAAAGGGCCGTTAAACAATACACAATCAATCAATCCTTCATGACCCAGTGCTAGTTTATTAGTTGTAACGTAATGATTTAGGTATGACAATCCTTCTCCCTCATAGTATCAGACGTCCAACAATACACAATACTGATTTTACTGTCAAATAGTCTTAGTACTGTAATTGATACCATTTCCCTGTTTTTAAGCATTCTCTCAAGTTGTTCTTGAGATTTTCATCCTCCAATGATGCTCTCTCAAAGTCGGATACAGTCATTGCGAGTGGAACAGTTTTTCAATCACAAAGTGTAAGTATTCCTCTGTATCACTCATCTTCAGACTCGATGCATCTGCTGACATCCTTGACGATGAATATGCTATGTTTTATTTATCCGGAATATGATGAACTGTATGACTGTAGTTCTGCATCCTTGACACCCATCTTTCTACACGTGCACATGGTTTCGATTTCGGCAAGAAAATGAACTAAAGTGGCTTAATTATGGTCTGTTTACGACTTAAAAGTCTTCCCCATCAAGTACATGTGATACCGCTCACAGCTTACACTAAACTGAGTTCTTCCTTCTCGGTTTATGTGTATCTGCGTTCAACATCCTTTAAGTATCTACTTGCATAAGAGATAATCTTACGTTTACCTTGTTGTTAGTCCGACCGGACGTGCATTTGCAAGAACTTGTGTTTTGGCATTAACATCAAAGCATTAACATCAAAGTAGTGTCAATATTAAATGCTTCATTTTGTCCTTGTCCCCATGTAAATGACTGTCCTTTACGCAAGAGTCTGTTTAAAGGTTCTGCTATGGTGGACAGGTTTGGAATGAATCTGCCTGCAAAATTGACTAGTCCAAAGAAACTGCGCACTTCAGACTGTGGTGTCCTGGCATTCCTAATAATGGAACTTTGCTGTCTGCTGTTCCGATACCATGTTTTGTTGCTCCATGTACCACAACATTAACATCAAAAGTTTACTATATATTAGAATGAGAAATATTTAAATATAAGAAGCATATAAATTATAACTAATATATCCCAAAATTTAAGATAAGTAGAGAAAAATCGGATTAATCAATATCCATTTTACATAAATTATTTATGTCATTTTGGTAATATCATCTAATTAGGCCCCATTTGGTAATATCTTTCTATGCGAAAAGAAAACATTGAATCTTTTTAAATACATGTAGGGATCGCATGATTGGCAACTGTAATTTTTTATTCTTAATGTCCAGGGAAAAGGTAATGACCTTGACCTGACGTTGTCTCTAATATAAAACGGTCAAATTTAATCTCACTGATGATACCATAACTTAGTGATATTGTCTTCTTGATTCTGTAAAAATTTCATAATTTTTTAAATACAAGAAATATGAGAAGAATCCTACCTTAAGTTGTTCCCATAAGTGTCTGTCAAACGTTCACTGAGGCTCCTGAGTCGATGATCACTTTTGCATAAATACCACCAACACTAACACTTAAGTTATTCTTTACACAATTTCGGTTCTGTATAGTAAACACATAAGTTCTCCTCATCACCATGTTCTACTTCTGAAGTTTCAATGTTTTGGACTGTTCTTGGTTTTGTGCCACTTTGTCTTGCAACCTACTTCAAAATGTCCTTCCATATAACATTTCCGACACTGTCATCATGCTGGACATTTGAGATCGGTGATCACATATGCGAAACATTTTTTTTTCTTGTTTATCCTGCTGTTTAGAATCATGTTTATGTTTGTATCCACTCACTTTGTTAATTGTTTCTTGCTCTGGTTTGTGTGCAATAGTCACTGCCGTTTTTCACTGCTGCTTCCAAAATCTGTGATATTTCTCTCAGTCCTTTAAGTGTCACATTATTTTTTCTCTAACAGTTTCCCTCTCAGTCTTTGAGAGGCACGTCTCTATCACTTGATCACGTATACTTTCATCAATTTCCCGAAAGATACAATAAACAGCTTTCTGCATCCGCCTAGTGATAAATTGTTCTACAGTTTCTGTCGCCATGTGTGCCTAGCACAAAATTATGATCTTTCAAACGTGTGAGTTACCAGAGGAGTAAATTGTTTATCAATGTCGCTAAAGCGACGCCATGCACGTTTTCTTGGTCAATCGGTTCGGAAACTTCAAGCGAATGTAGAAAATATTCCTTACGTTTATCTCTGCCTCGTGTAACAATGAAGCCTTCTTTTGCGCATCATGTCCAAAGAATTCCTACCGAATCCACATCTCCATGACCGTTCACGGTAACTCTGTCAGTAGCGCGCTCGCTCCGTGATCGGGAGGTCGTCAGTTCGAATCTCGGCAGCAACTCACATAAGTCGATAAAAAATGGGTAGCAACTATGCCTTCGCTATGCGCTCGCACTTTGAAGTGCGGGTCCTTCGGATGAGGCCTTAAAAACCGAGACCCCGTGTCACAACAGGCGTTGGCACGATAAAGATCCCTCACTGCTAAATGGCCCTTAGTGCCGAGTATAGGTTAAAATTTGAAGCCCTTCACATCTCTATATCTCTATATCAGTGAAAAATTCTCGAATCGGACGTAAAACAACATACAATCAATCAATCAATCACATCCCCAAATGGGTCAAAATATGATATAAATTATATTGAAACTATGATTAATCATTCACCACAATATAGTTACATATCTCAATCACACTGGAGATATCTGAAGTCAAGTGGGATACTGGTTACAGATCTCAATCATACAGTATAGAGATATATGGAGAATTCTTTAATCATTTATTTTTATTTAAGTAAAACTACACGTCACAGATGAGGAGTATAAACACACAGAATTCATTGCTCAACAGTTTGCCTCTGGTGTTGGAAAGGAGCTTCACAAAAAGTTAGCAGAGAAAGCTCAGAATGAGAGAAACTGGGTAGGTGTACAAGTCACCTGATAAACTGTTCCAAGGCTCTCAAGGTTATTGTGCATTTATTTATTTACCAGATTATTTTAAAACATTAAAACATGACTTTTATGATTGGTACTTTGTACACTCCAATGGTGTTTAATTTCTGAAAACCTAATTTGAACTTTACTGCAAACCGAAGTATATTTAATGTGTAATATGTGTCAGAGACAAAATTTTGCCTCAAATTGGCTTTAAATCTAGGATCTGTGGCATGTCAGTCCAGACCTCCGCCAATCAAGATAAGCATGTAAAGTGTTAGCCCACTAGTACCAGCTTATAAGTGTACTCATTTATTTTGAGAAAAGATTCAAGAGAGGCTCTGATAGAGCTATAAAGATCGAAAAGATTGCACAAAATAGTTTTAATAACAAACCTTTGCCTTCGCCTTAACTTTTCAAGATATCAAAAGAGATACAATTACTCCTTTCATTATATATTTCTTTTAAAGACATTTCACGTCCGTCATGTTCTTGTTTTTATTCCAGTTAGAGAAATGGTGGGAAGAAAAAAGGTACCTAGAAGTAGGAATCCCACTGGCCCCGTTCATCAATCTGATTGGATTGGGCCCCTATTACAATCATTACTGGACCCCCAAGCCAGGGACTCAGTTAGAGAGGGCGGGAATCGTACTCCACTACGACACCAAGTTCTGGCAGCTCATCAAAAGGTAACACATTGCTATGTTACAAGAAGTATGCTGATGTGCAAAATGATGCTAAATGATTTCTCTAAAGTCCATGCATTATTATGTAGATATCAAACATGAAATTATTTTACGCTATTCATTACTTTTTCAGCCATTTTCTGATTCCTTACATTGAGCATTAAATTTACACACACATTTGAGAGCTAGAAAATGGCTTAATTGACATCATTGATTTTTTTTTATCAACATCACACTGTAATTTTTTCTGTGTTGCCTTGTTTGTTTTCATACCAAGCAATGGCTTATATTTCTTACAATATCATACACAATGCAACATATACATGCTGTATTTATAGATGCCCCACATAGTAGCTGGTACATAAAATTAATAATATTACTTATTTAAATTCAGATCTAAAGTATACATGTATATATTAATAGTAATCAAACTTTGTTTTCGCAGGGAGACTCTTAAGGTGGATGTAGACAATAAAGGGAGAAAACTCTGTATGAACCAGTTTAGGCGGGCCTTCTCCACCTGTAGAATACCAGGTGTCTTCAGAGATCAACTGATTTCTCACTTCAAGACAGGTAAAGTATTTAGCCTGGACTACCATCTTGTCCATACTCACACTAAAATATGGGGAAAACAGCATAAAATAGGTCTACATGGGTTTCGAAATTTTGTTGATGTGTAATATAATATATTTTTCGTTTGCATAGAAATCTCAGGTAAGGTTTTCCATAACTGTCAATAGAATTCTTATGTAATCACCCAATACTAGGGGGATTTGCCATTTCATGAGTTCTATCTGTTATATGTATTCTCATTTTAAACTTTGTGCATGCGTTATCCTACAATCAGTATAAATTTTCGTGGAATACCTACAGAAGATTAACCACACACTAGGGCTGAGACTACAACCTTTTCTATATCGATACGTATCACGATAGATGAGCTACGATACGATATGTATAATATTATTTTTCATTATAGTTAGAAAAATTTTTTTGCACTGAAATAAACAAATCATTTCTTTGAAAATAGGAATAATTTATTCAAAGTCAGAATTGTTTTGCGATATTTCGATATTTGTTCATATGTATCGATATGCGTATCGTCCTCACACAGCATCGATATTATCGATATCTCGATATATCATCCCAGCCTTACAACCAACCATTTATTATCAAGAGTATATAAGCAAAGAAAAGAGTTGTATCATTGATATTTTGTAAACAGAATCCGAGGGTCCTACCCCCCTTCATGCTGTGGTGCTGTACAAGGGGAGATTCTTCTGTTTCGATGTTGTGGATCAGAATGAGGAACCACTCCGACCCCCGGAGATACAGCATCAGCTGACCTTGATTAAAGACCGATGTGATAGAGAACCCCCAGGCATAGGACTAGGGGCTCTCACAGGAGAAACAAGGAAGAAATGGGCAGAGGTTTGTTGAAAACCCTACTTTCCGTAAATTCAAGGGATATATTTCATATCCGTAACAATACTTTCAATAAAGAGGGGCATTTCATGTCAGACTCTGTAATTAATACAGTTTGATTTTAAATTAATATTAGGGATGGCAATTTGTAACCGGCTAAGCAATTACTCGGTAGAAAATTTGTAATCGGTTAGTCGGAAAAAATAAAACTGAACTTGATTTTCTTAAAATTAATTTTCAAAGAAAAGAAATTACTGCAGTGCACATAGGATAAAAAATTTAGTGTTTAACAAAACTATTAAAACTGAAATTCCTTTGCAGAAGCTTATAATAATTTGTATACGGTTTCTCAAAAAACTTGCTAGAAGTTTTTTAATTGATTGTTTTAGGCCAAGGGGTAATTTTTAAAAATCATGTTTTTATGTTGAGCAGTCAATTATTTTGTTAAGCAATTTGATATTACCCAACTTTCAGTTAGAAAAATATTGTTGAATTCTCTAATATTAGTTAAATTACTGAGAGCTTTTACTTTTAAAAAAATTTTTATAAAATTTCAACAATGTAAATTTTTTCATTTATCTCAAAAATCTACAAAGAAGCAAGATTTATAGACATTTTTGATTAAGAGCAGAAAATTCTGCAAAGCACATTTATAAAATTTAATTTGGAAATTTATTATTATAACAATTTTATTGCTAAAAATATTTAATATAGGTCTGAATTTAATTTTTAGCTTGTTTTACACCTTCCCTCAAAGACTTTTCTGTCAAATTTACACCATGAAAATAATATTTTTAAAAATAGTTTTTCATTATTTTAAACTATGATACAGAATCAAAGAAAAAGTTTGATATAAGAAAATTTTTAATGTCTATTAAGTTTTTTAACAAATATGTTCTTTTTAGTGCAAAAACCGACAATAATTTACATTAATTTGAAATATATAAATCAAACTATTTTGTGTGTATTTTTGATACATCTAATCAAATATAATAAGGGTTAAAGTAATTAACCAAAGAGATGAAATTTAAGTGCAAAAAGGTCAACTTAAAACCGATTAGCACAATTTTCTTTGCGATTTTGAGTTACACTTTATCCCAAAATATACTTTCAAAAAATATTGATATAACAAATTGCCATTGTGAAGCCTTAACAATAATATAATTATTAAATCCCTAAAATATATTTTACTTTGGAGACTTTAAACATATCAGATATGATAAAAAGAAGGACCCATACTTTATCAAAAAATTCAAAGACAGAGGACTTGGGTTTTGATGGTCATTGCTACAAAACTGGAAAAGGATATCATTATCTACCCATAAAATTTGGCACACACAGTGTCAAACACATATCCTATAAATAGCATATGTAATGGGCTCATAACTTTATAAGGCCTAGAGTTATCAAACTTTGTGTGACGTCATAATTAAAAAGTTATAAAAATGGAAAAACGTCTACATGAAAACTATTACACTTAGAATCATCAAAAAAGGTGTGTTGACCTATTTCAAGGTCACTGTGACCTTTAATTTAAGTGGAATTTTTAAAAAAGAAATGTCTTTTTTTAAAGTTATACACATTCAAAAAAATGTAAAACTATTTAACCTTATTAGAAAAATGAAGAAAATACTTATTTTTTTAGCATATATACTTGACAGCAATCTATAACAAATGTAATGTATGTTAGAGAAATTCCACCAAAAAATTATCAAGCACTGGTCAAGAAGAATTTTGATAACAGAAAATTGCATGTGTTAGAGAGAGAAATTAATGTGAGGAGTTTTTAAAAATCATGCTATCTATATCCCTTGAGTATTGGGCCAAATGAAAGCCTTTTGGAAAAAATGTTCTTGGATAGCCAAAGTTTTAAAATGAATTTTGATATAACTAATTTGATATTGCATATTAAACTTTACATAATATTTGAACTTAAAAAAAATAGTTGAATATCATGTGAATTGCATATTAACAATAATTATTAAATCTAAAAAAAAAATATCGTTTTAAAAATGTTTTATGGTAGATACTTCAATAAAACATATCAGAGTTAAAGATTAATAAAAAGAAGGCAGCTGCATGTCTCTTTCATTACTTCAGAGCATGCTCTTAATTGTCTCCTTCGGGAATAAAAGAACTGTTGGTCAGTTTATATTTGATGGCCAGCCTTTTATTTCCAAAATTAATTAGGACTTGGGTTTTGATATGTTCAACATGATAGGCATTTGGCAAGGTATGGAAAAGGCAATATTTGTTATAATTAATGCCTACACCACATGAGATGGATAAACAAATTTTTTAAGGTGTGTAAAAAATCATTGAAATCTTAAAATCAAGGTTGACATGATTTTCCTGCACTTTTAACTGTTTAAGATACATTATAATTGTAATTTTTTTTCATGCTGTGGCGTGGCAAAAAAAAAATAACCGGCATGATAAGAAATATAAGAGTCGGAAAAATCTGTAAGCTTCTGTGACAGAAAGCTAAGGAGCATGTCACGTGACCGCCTATATCACGTGATCCGAGCATGGGCAGAACGGTTGCAGATGCGCAATAAAATCGGAGAGGACCACTTTAAAAAATTTCAACACTGAAACCCTATATAATTTCGTTTATGGAAGTTATTCACTTAATTCGCTAACGTTTTGATCACCCCTCGTACGTGCCAAATCAATCTTTATTTTAGGTGGTTTTTTTATTATAAGGCTTGTTTTGGTGGATAAACACAAACATGTATACTGTAATATAATCATCCAAGAGAAGATCTTGCTTATTTTCATATATATGTGTCATGATAATGAATAGTTGATCAACATTTAAATACATGCATTTTATTTTTCATTTTAAGTATGTACCGATAGAAACAGATATAGGGTAAGAAATATAATAAAAATTGTGCCATTTACAGGCCAGAAGTCGACTTTGTGCTTTGCATCCAGAGAACTTTCACAATCTAAAAAAAATTGAGACCAGTATATTTACAATTGCACTTGATGATTTTGAGCCAAAAGACAATTCAGAGGCAAGTCTAAGGATGTTTTCTATAATCTTATAATTATACCTTTAAGAAATATAATTTTTAATTTAGAGAAAGAATATGCTTCTAAAAAAACAATGCAGGAATTTTTCTTGGTTCGGAATGCAGTGTAATTTCTGAAAATTTGCAATATTTTATTTGTAGTGCCTTACACCTGCATGTACATGTACATGAGATTAAGTCTGTTTTGTCTTTCAGGCATTTACTTACTCAGGGGGAGGGACCAATTCCAGAGACAGATGGTTTGATAAATGTGTCAACCATATCTTCTATAATAATGGGATTTGTGCATGCAACTGTGATGTATGATACAACAATCCCCTTTTCATTTTAATGAATAAATTTCTTGTGGACGTAATCATCTAACTTTTTTCCAAAATATAATCATCTAACTTTTTTTCCAATCTGAATTACCAGTTATCATTAAAAAACTACATTGAAAACGAAAACTTTCTAGGGGAGAAAGGCCATCTTTTAAAAAATGTGTTTGCCCTCTCCCGACCGACTGCAAAAAAAAAATGACCCGAAACAACTCAAAACTTTTTTAACCTCCAGGAAACAATTTTTTTGAATGCCCCTCTTCGAAGAAGGGAGGGCATATTGCTTTGCTGCTGTATGTCGGTCAGTCAATCTGTCTGTCGGTCCACCAAGTTTCCATTCATTTTCTTGGCATAGGTTGCACATCCTGAAATGAAATTTGGTATACAGATTTATCGTCAAGTTCTGTTTTTGGTATGATCGAGCAATTCTTCACAAAGTTCTACCCCTTCTGTTTCACAAATATCTCTTGTTTTAATGATATTCCTTGATTTTCTTATTCTGTCAATATTGCTCGATGGACTTGGAAAATTCCAATTATTTGCAGTTTTCCTTCATTTTCTTGGCAGAGGTTGCACATACTGAAATGAAATTTGGTATACAGATTTATCATAAAAATATCTAGGTTAAGATCTGTTTTAAGTACGATCAAGCCACTCTTCACAAAGTTCTGCCCTTCTGTTTCACAAATATCTCTTGTTTCAATGATATTCCATAATTTTCTTATTCTGTCAATACTAGTATATAATGTTGAAAATTTCTAGAAAATTAAAATTACCCACCTACTTACCACTCATTTCATTGAAATGATGCAAATAATAAATTTCTAGAATATAAAGAAATTGTAAAACTTTTACGATTTTTCAAAATTCTGCCTCTCTGAAACCATCCTTATTAATCTATACAATTATTTTTTTTATTTCAAATCCCATTTTTGTTAAAAAGAAAAATTAAATAAAGAATTAAAAACTACACGGTGAAACTTGTTCATGTTACTCATTAAAACATAACCCAAGTTGTTATTTTCTTTTTTTTCTTTACAAACGTTTGTTTGTATCATCTGTCCTTAAAGAAAGCTTAATCTGATATACCTGTGCAGTCTGTGTCATTGCAAAGTCTGAGCTTTATTTACATTTCCGTACATTTATTTTCAATATCCTCAACATTTTTAATCTAAAACCCAGTCTTTTCCGACACACAATCTCCTGACCCATAATGGATTACAGAGTTTTCACTGTAAGAGAAATATTTTTTTTTTCAGCATGCTTCTTTCGATGGAATGGTCATGGTGACTAGTCTATACTATGTTGACCTAAATATTAGAAGGTCAAAGGGCAAATGGCAGGTAAATAATTAATAGAAAAAAATATTCAGGTGATAACATTGTTACTAAATTTTTGGAATTATGAGGTAGGTGTAACATAAATCGTGCAAATCCTAGCTACTCATCTGATTATTGTGTGATTTTTTTGTTAGAATAAGTGTTTTTTTCTGTTTGAACATTTATTTTGCTGTTCTTGTAGGGTTCTGTGGAAATTAGAGACCTTCCAAAACCAACCGAATTAAAATTCCATGTGGACAGTGTCATTATTGAGGCCATTCTTGCTGCTGAGAAATTCTTCTTAGCTAATGTAAGCAAACCAAGTCACAACGTCCTCATTTCTTTTTTCTATACATGTAATCATGTTCTACACAGATTGGAAAATGTAGGGTTTTTTAGCTTTGGATCCCAAAAACAGTAAAGAAATGATTTTTAATTGTTATTAATTGTTGCCAAGATAGCAGTCTGAGAGCATCTCTTATATTCTATGTCTATTCTGAATAATAAAAGCAAATACTGTAACATCACATATTTTCGTGTGGTTAAATTTTTGTGGTTTAAGGAAAAACTTTTGGTTTGTGGGGATTCGATTTCGTGGATGAAGAAATGTCGAGTAGTTATATATGTGACATTTTACATTTCATGGTGGACATTAATATCTTAAAAAACGAAAACTAACTTCCCACGAAAATTTATGATTTCACAGTAATAAGACATTGTATAAAGGTATTTATCACACAATGAGAAGAACACTTCCTTTTGACAGGAGGCTTAGATGTAGAAAATAGAATCGGAAATGGAACCTCTATCTGCTGCAGAAATTTTAAAGAAAAATGATTTCGTTTTATATTGTTAATTTCTTTTATTCTTTTGAGTAAAATACTGTAAACAAACTATTATCCCCATTTTTTAGCTCACCTAAGCCGAAGGCTCAAATGAGCTTTTCTGATCAAATTTTGTCTGTCGTCCGTCCGTCCGTCTAGCTGTCTAGCTGTCTGTCCGTCTGAACCACTGAGCCAGTTTTGACCAAACTTGGTACAAAGCATCCTTTGGTGAAGGGGAATGAAAATTATTAAAATGAAGGGCCAAGTCCCCTTACAAGGGGAGATAATCAAGAAAAGACAAAAACAGGGTGGGGTCATTAAAAAATCTTCTCAAGAACCACTCGGCCAGAAAAGCTGAAACTCATGTGGAAGCATCCTGGGGTAGTGTAGATTCTAAATTGTTCAAATCATGACCCCTGGGGCTAGGGCTGGGCCACAATGGTGAATCAGAGTTTTACATAGAAATATATAGGAACAATCTTTAAAAATCCTCTTCTCAAGAACCACTGGGCCAGAAAAGATGAAACTTATATTGAAGCATCCTGGGGTAGTGTAGGGTAGGGCGGGGCCACAATAGAAATTCAAAGTTTTTAATAGAGATATATAGGAAAAAATCTTTCAAAATCTTCTTAGAGAACCACTGGGCAAGAAAAGCTGAAACTTATTTGGAAACTTCCTGGGATAGTGTAGATTTTAAATTGTCCAAATTATGACCAGTGGGGTAGGATGGGGCCACAATATGTATTACAAGGGGAAAATCTGGTAAAGAACATCATGGTCAAAGCTTCTCAGGTGAGCGATGAGGCCCATTGGTTTTTTCTGAATGTTCATAGCGTCAGGTAAATTTTTATTATGAAAGTGGCTTATTTTTTAACAACTATCATTTTATCAGAATTTGTCCGTCTACTTTCGATTTTCACGATATGACAAGGAGCACACGGCCGGTGTGACTGGTTGGAGGGGGATGCTTAATCCTCCATGGCACCTGATCCCACTTCTGATGTTTTGGAGGTCTGTGTTCGCTCTGCTCCAATTTTGTGTTGTAAACAATTTTATATCAAGTTCACTTTCTTTTTTATAGGCAAATACTCTATCAAGTACAACACTTAAATATACAAAATATGGGAAGAAAAAGTTACGGAAATACAAATATCACCCTGATACGCATGTACAACTAGCTCTGCATTATGCATACTACAAAATACACAACAAGTAAGAGATTTTTTTTTATACATTTATATTGATTAATACCCAGTGTGCATTTTTTAATATTTTACATTTCTCAATTGTAGGATTGGCATCATGCTTTGATAGTTAAGCTAATTCTTGTACTCTCAGTAATAAATAATAACCTTAAGGATATCCGATCCTCAGCCAGGAAGGATAACTCCAAAAACTAATATTTAATTTGAAATGCATCAAAATGAATATTGAAAATGAAATTTTTTCATGCAACAATTTTCATTTTATTCATCTTTACAAGATTGAAGGTTTTTGGAAGTCTGGTAAAAGGTATTATACAAGTTGACATTTGTACCCCATAAAAGGAAAAGAAAATAATACAGTTTTAGAGAAATAAGATTTTCTTGAATCCAGCCTTAGATATCAATGCTTATCAGCATGGTATGAAATAATAAGTGATTTATGGTGTCTTGCAATGATAGCAAAAGCCTTTTACATTAGTTATTATAGAATACATGACGTAAACAGAATACAAAAAATACCAAATAAGTATAAAAATCATAACAACTTTTCTGAATGCCTGGATACCTATTGCTTTTTAGCCTAAAATATATATGTTGATCCATTTGCAATTAGAAAATGCATTGCTGATATTCTAATTCGCTTTTTCTGCAAAAATATTGGAGATTTGACAATTTTCCCTATATAATATGATTAACTTTGATCTTTAACTTTCAAGAAATACTGTGGATAAATTTACATAACCTTGTGGATTCAGAGATATTTTTATGAGTATTTTTGATTACTTAACTGGTAATTTTATAAACCTGAGGATCGGATTACCTTAAGAATACAGTTATGTTTTAGATGCACACAGTAATTTTTCTCAATAACTACAGAAGCAGAAATTTTAATATTTAAAAATGTGTAATAATCCTTACTTGTATAAAGTGGGCTTATTCCTTGGCCGACAATGTATATAGGTAGGAGCCATATTAATGAATAAAGATTTTTACAAAATATATATATATAGAGATTTTTACTTGTAAAAATATTTGGTATGTTTCAATTCCATATTGAAATGTAAGGTAACATTTTTGCAAAAAGTTTTTTTTTTTTGAAAAATATATCCCAGTTATCCAATTAAATAATATATATATGCAACACATTTCTTTAATATGTGTTTATGTAGAGGCAATGTTATTCACTATTTTTGCAGACTAGCCCCATCATATGAGCCTGCCACCACGAGAAGATTTTACCACGGTCGAACAGAAACCTTAAGAACATGTACTGTAGAGGCCGTAGAATTCTGCAAAGTCTTGTGTGATCCGAAGGCTTCAGTAAGTTTCAGTTCCTATTACAGACTAGATCTATTAGATGGTGGTAATGTGTAATGCTAAAGCTTCGGTATGTTCTTATTCTTAATACAAGCTTGATCCATATGATGATAATCTGGTTTGTTCCCGTTTTGCACACATTTGAATTTCAGGTATTGAAAAAATATGTGCAGAATGGGAATTTTTCCATGTAAGATAATTACTTCATTGCCATAATCTATCTCATAGTTGTGAATTCGGAGAAAGAAAATCCTCAGAAAGATTTAGCTTCAAATATATTGAAAAAATTTCCTTAATTTCATAGTTTAAACAACATTTTGAATGCCGTACCAACAATTCCTGAATTTCATCATTATAAAAACATTTTAGATTATTTGAATGGACAAGTTACTGTTTATGAACTGAAAAACTGGGTGAAAATTCAATAAGGATATTTGTCCAATTTGGACAAATAAAAATTTCAAAATATATATTTTAAATATTTAGAGTTTTTATAAAGCACAGGTAAATCTAGATAAATCCCAGATGCAGATCAGACTAATTGCTATCAAAACACATTTCACACCTTTTGATCTATACCTCAATATTAAATGTGTGCAAAACGGGGACACACCGTATATCTTACTGGCAATGAAGTCAAGAGCTTCTTCTAACAAAAGAATGCAGAGTTTACTTCAGTGTCTCAGAGAAAAGACACAATATTCTTCTCCTCTCTGGATTACAATGAGAGAAACTATGTTCATGCAATCTAGCTTGCTTCATTTTTAGGTGTACTGTTTATTATTTCAAACTTGATGGCACACAAATTAAACTTCAAGATATCTGATAATAACCCTGCAGGTTAAAAATGATATAGAATAAGTACTTCGGCTGCTACTATATACAGGGGTCTTTTTTCATCCCGTGTTATTTTCGCCCTTTCACACTTGCAAACAATTTTGCCCTGTTTTAATTTCGCCGAAACACAGTTTTGTTCAAGAAATTACCCTTTTTATTTTGAATTCACCCCGTCTTAAATTCGCCTACTTGTGCCTAATACAAAAAGGGGCGATAATAAAACGGATCGAAAATTTCCCTGTATACAATAACTCATTTTGACAAAATGATCACAATTAAACTCAGTTATAAAGAAATTGCATACCATGAAGTCTTGGTTTTGAAGAACGTTTTTTGAATCCCAAAGAGAACTTTTCACTATTTTTGTACGGATATAATAATTTCAGTATAAAGGCAGGGAAACTGTAGGTGACTCTCATGTAATGACAGAGTTGTTTTACTGTACCTAAACACAAATTTTTAGGTTGTTAAAGTACCATTTTCATTTGATTAATGACATATAGTACCATTTTAGGTTCAGGAGAGGAAGATTGCATATATGAAAGCAGCAAACAAACATAATAAGTTAATGGATGAAGCAAAAGAATCGAAAGGTATGTCCTTAACAGTATAAAAACATAGGTTATCAGAGATTACAGAGCTCACCTCAACGAATGTTGTCTTTAAGTAAGGCGAAGTCACACAATTACCCAACAAAGAGTGTACGTCCAAAAATGCTAAATTTATGCAATTTTGATCTCATACTTTGGAATAGACCTATGTTAAAACTTTAAACTAGTTCTTCAATCTTCATCACGAAAATGTATTTAAAATTCAGAATCTGAAGCAAGTTTGAGAGATTTCATCACTTGATGCATCATTTGTGCAAGTTTGGTTAATATTAGCCTTATAGTTTCTTGGTAATAGACCTGCACCCATAACTTTTATCTAGTCCATTATCTGGAAAATGTATGTCGAATTCAGCATCCGAAGTAAATACATTAGTGTGCATCCTAAGATGTAACATCTATGCAGGTTTGCACAACATAGCGCTCATAGTTACTTAGAAATGAATCCTGCACCAAAAACTTTAACCTGTTCACTCATCCAAAAAATGTAGGTCAGATTCAGCATCCGAAGCCAGGCTGGTAGAATGCATCATTAGATGTATCATCCATGCAAGTTTGGTCATTAAAGAGCTCATAGTTACCTGGAACCGACACCGACGCCGAGGGTTTTACATAAGCTCCCCCAACTTCGTTGAGGTGAGCTAAAAATAAGTTGGTTATTTAGAGTAAATAATATGTCAGTGCAATCAAGCTGTGTATTATTTTAGATGGTTTAACCAACAGATTTATTAAATTTTTTCCTGTCTCCACACTGTAAAAGAGTTCAGCATCTCAGATATTTATTGTTTCTATTTGTAAGTTGTCATAACTCTAAAAAAAAATATCATTTTCACAAACAGGGAGTTGATAATTCTTATGCATATGTAGGATGTGACAGACATTTGCTTGGTTTGGAAACAATAGCCGAGGAACTAGGCATACCAAAACCATTGCTGTTCCAAGATAAATCGTTCACAAAAAGGCAAGTCAAACCCGAAATAGATTTTAAACTTCGTGTCTATTTCAAAAATTGATTCGGTAAATGCAGTTTTTATTCATCCTACTTGTAAATAAGACCTTTATCTTAACTTCTCTTTTTCCTATAGAAAAGTAGAAACACTAATTTTAAAAGGCCATACATGTCCAAGGACGAATTCGATGTCGATATCGACAATATTATGTCGATATCGTATTGATATCGATTGTAAAGGGCACTATTAATTTGAAATACATATTTACTTGGTACCATATATGCGACTTTGTGCTATGTCGATGTCGTCGATATCGACAATACCATGACGATATCGTATCGATATCGATCCTATTTGAAGAATTTGTTTTCACAATAAGGTAGAACATAATTTTACAAGGTCACAAAAGATGTCAAGTCCATTCATTATTAGCCTGAATATGAAATTAAATTATGATAAGTAAAGGGTTAGTGGTTGTTATTGTTTTGGATTAGGCTTAGAGTAAGATGTTGGGTGAGGGTGAAAGTTGTTAAATATGTTTTAACAATCATGATTCGATATCGATACGATATCGTCGATATCGACGATATCGACAGTAGAGTAAACTAATCAGAAAGTAAATATGCACAAGCGTTGCATGAAGAAACACAGAACATATTGTCATGGGATATGTTAAATATAAAGATTTTGTATTAGGATGAAGGTTCGTAAAATAATATGTTTAAACAATAAGGATTCGATATCGATACGATATCGTCGATATCGACGATATTGATGGCAGGTACAATCTTCGTAAAAGTAATTTAACATAAATATACATATAAAGTAACAGGGACGGTATTTACATAGGGCAGAGCAAACATGATTCGATATCGAAGCGATATAGTCCATATCGTCGATATCGACACACCAGGGAAAGTTTTATAAAATATAGTTTTCAAGTAACACATGTTAAAAACACAATACTAGTATAATAGATGGAAACCATAATTCTTTATAATTCTTTGAACAATCATGATTCGATATCGGCACGATATCGTGGATATTGACAGTAAGGAAGACTTTTTAAAACAGAAGGTATTGTAATAAACACACAAGAATAGATAAATATTATAGTAAACTATAAAAAAGTAATGTGTCGATATCGTAACTACATCGTTCTTGGACATAACTCTAAAAGGCTGGACAATCTGCCTTAGAATGCACTATTCTCAGTTGATAAGATTTTTTTTTCAGTGGCGGGGGAGGAAATTTTGAGTTATCCACTAGTTTAACAGGGTACACTTCAGTGTTTGGGGGTATGGCTGCCAAGACTAATGATGGATATGGATGTTTCTATCAAATTGAACAAAACTAGTAAGTATCACGTGGGGTGGAAGAAGAATAATTCTTAGTTATTGTTTGTAGCATCCTAAATAAAGCAGCAAATATGGTTTTTGCAATTGATAATTATATGGTATTGAAGAATCTGCTAAAACATTTTTAAAACTGCAAAGAGATCTTTTAAGCTTTTAAAAACACTGGGATATTCAAGGATTCAATGTATCAGGGGTAAAGAATTAAAGATGAAATAGTTGGAACTTCCTAATCACTTTGACATACCTGGGCATCTATGGTATTCCAGATAAGGATGGTATTCTAGTAGCTGCAAAAATATATCCCTCTCCGATTTTTAAAATCTAATACCCCCCCCCCCTCCGCCCACACAAAGGGGAGCTCGTGAGGGCTACATTATTGCAGCTAGTATTCTACATGCAGAGGGCCAACTGCATTTGAAAACTGTTAGGCAGACGGGGGAAGGATATCAACAAGTGAAAGTACACTCTGACGATTGTTTTCTTCTCTGTTATTTACAGCATTGAGATGGTAGTAACAACATGGAGAACTAGTAAAATCACCAGCTCAGAGAAATTTGCTCAAATAATTCAGGGATGTTTGGACGACTTGGATGAATTGATGTTATCAGATACACCAATGACGGCTAAACTTTGATACTGTTAAATAACATTGAGAGACAATGGCAAGATCTGAAACTTTTTGTTGGGTATTTTATAATAAGTCAATCTTAGTCAATTGAGAAATTAAAGTTACCTTTAAACCTAATTCTAAGCTGGAAATGGCTAAATGGCTTCTTAAACATCATTAGTGCTTTGAACTGTTTAAAGAATATCATTTTTCAGTAATATTATGTAATATTAAGTAATGATTATTATGAATAGACGAGATAGAAGTTTGTGTTTCTCGACAAAACAAACAAGTTATCTGAACATGCAGAGATAGTAATCTTGATATCTTATGATGACAGAAATATGTGGATGGCGTAAATATATGCCACCATAAATGAGAACTGTTCAAACATGCTAGGGAAAAAATAAATGAAACAAGATGTGTTTGTGAAAGACTATGCGCCCGGCAGCAACAAAGTTCGAAAAAAGCTATTTTTAGCATATAGGTCACAGTCAAGGTCCCAAGGTCATTGACCTTGGTGTCATTTGAAAGAGCTTAATTAGTGGAGTATGCATACTAAATATGAAGTCTCTATCTTTCATGGTTCAAAAGTTATGGCGAAGGTTAAAGTTTGGGGACAAACAAACAGACAGACAGACAGGACAAAAACAATATACGCCTCGGATCTATCGATCCGGGCGCATAAAAAATCATTCATCAAAGCAGTCCCTTTCAATGACTTCTTTTTAAAACTATGATACGAAATAAAAACAAATACATTATCATGTATTTCTACATTTACTAATATTATACAATAAAAGAAATAGAAATAACAAAAAAGTTCACATAGCTCACCCAAGTCAACACTCCTCTTTTGATCAGTTAATAAAGACGTGTATATAAATGAAATTATTACATTTTAACAGCAAAATACTGTAATTCATTCATTGAATAAAAATGATATCCTTTCACAGTGTGACAAATATCAGAAGTGCGGTAAAACTCTCGATTTTCCTACCCATAACGGAGAGTGTTGAAAAAAATATTCCTTGACATGACATAAGTTACCCTAAATATGTTGCTAAAATCCATGTTTACAATGTTTTCATTTCACTATGCTATGACGCCTCAACCGCTCAACTATGACGTCATAGGTAGCCTGACTGTATTAGAAAAGCACAGAGACAACGGGAAAAAATCAAAGAAAATGTAATAAACAGAAAATTTAATGTTTTGTAGTTGAATATGGAATTTATTTCACCCGGGAGACAGGATTTTTTTTTTATTTTCACTCGTGCTTCACACTCGTGAAAATATATTTTTAAAAAAACCTGTCCCACTCGTGAAATAAATTATTTAACAACAAAACATTGAATATCCTCTATTTCTTTATAGTCTCTAAATTGAAAAATTAAAATTTGAAGAAAGTTGAACGGTTGGTGTCAACTTCACAATTTGAAATCTTTTCAATCCTGTAGATATCTTAAATTTTCTATATGAATATCTGTTCCTATGGTGGTCTGATTTTAGTTTTTACAAACCTTTTCTTACCTTCATGGAAATGTTTTTGCATTAATATATTAGCAAACAAGAATACAAACAGTCTTATTTAAAGTCATGATTTTGAAAGTTTTATGGTCGAAACAATGACCTGGTCAGCAAGTAATTCTATCATGGAGTCGAATGCTGACAGAAGTTTTTTCATATATACTTATTTTAGACCATTATTTACACACCGAAAGTTTTACTTCTTACGATAACATTCGAGAAAGTTTTGTTCTGACTTAATCTTTTTCGGTTGTTATCATTATGATTTATACATATATAAATAAATACATGTTTTAAGCTCAGAAAGACCAGTGGGGGTACAACGTAAACAAACTGGAGTGGCATACCTTTGTCTAATATATAGTGGGGTATTTTTTTTCGTGGAGCAATTATTTTGGGGTTTGACGATTTTTTTTATAGTATACACATGATAATTTGTGAAACAAATGTCCAACAAGCCCTGTGGGTGAATATCGCGAGGGGGGCTGTCCACAATCACCTGTGGTTGATAGATCTACAGATTACAGAGAGACAAACGCTGGACAACCTTCAGTCAGAAAAACTCATCTATAATCTATAAACCTTAGTCAGCTAAAAGTAAAAATAAATATAATATTAGGATTACTCAGTATCATACATATAGTATTTACAAAAATCATACATGTTATTCATGTATAATTATAAATGGAAATATTGAAGATTTTGGATGAAAATTAATTCAAATACATTACAGCTAGAACAAATACAAGTAACACACAAATAACAAATAGTAGACGTATTGGAATTCTTCAAGTTGAGATCATGGATTGCAGTCAAATACTTGAACCTATAAGAAAATAAATAAATAGAAGTATGCACTTTAATAGTTTGTTTTGTTTGTGTACAAAATCGTTTAAATACTTATAGAATATATTTGTCATGAAAAAAGAATAAAATATCAAATATATTTGTGTCTGTTGTCTAGACAACATTTATTAATAACAAGCTACATTTCGAGCATATATGTCACTTTCAACTGTCTGCTAAATGGAGAAATATTATTGGAACCTACCATGTCCATGTAACCATAAAAAGCATCTTGGTTTTCTTTGCACATGCCTATACTTAGTGGACCGTCTGGGGCTACTAGGTTTCCTGTTTTGAAACACAACAAAAATTAATGAATAATTTAAAAGACCTTAATAGCTTTCTTTCATTTCAGCACTTAGTATTAGGTTTTTTAACAATAATTATTTACTTCTTTCCAAATCAACTAAGAGCAAGATATATGTCTTTGTTTAAAAATTAGTTAGGAAATAAATCCTTCCGATATTGTTTCATTTACAAATGAAACCAAAGATAGCAAATTTTTAATTATTTTCCTGATATTATTCCAAATTCAAGGATATTAAATTCAGTAACCTGATAAAACTGTTTCATCTTTACTTTCAAATGAAATTGAGCCATTTGAACTAAATGACGTCACTCTTCCTGCAATGCTTCTACCATCATATAATAACTCCACATTCATCCAAGCTTTGACCTGACAAATAGGCAAAATTAAAACCTCTTAAGATGTTAAAACTTCAGTATCAGGCATGCATGAAAAGCTCTAAAAATTTATAAAATATTTAATGAGAATGAACTTTATGAAGAACAACTCTAAGAATATAAAAGAACTTACTTTTTTAGTTCTCATTGAATTTTGTATATATTATACATACATATACATACTTATATTTTACTAACTTAATAAATTAATAGATATATGAATTTTGACTTGGGTTATTTTTTCATACCACGAAGGAAGTCACATACTGTTTTACTGTTGGCTTAAGAAAACAAAACAATAGTAGAAAATAGAAACTCGGGTACCTAATAGGAGAAATGTATGATTTAATTTAGCTGTTTTGCACTTTCAAAATTTACATGTCATAGGGGAATTGAAATCTTTAATTTGGTCTCTTCACACCACGAAAAAATACCCACTCTCTCAAACAATGATTTCAAAGAATATTAAATTGACTAATTTAAAGCGGGTTATCTATACTTTCATATAAGATATCGTTATTATGGCAGGCCTCTCCCTATATAAATATTAGTATGATTTCAAAGAATATAAAGTTGACTAAAGCGGGTTTTCCGTACCTTATAAGATAGCATTAGCTTAACAAGCTTGACTTTCCAATCCTCGCTTTCGCCCAGTAATGTAAAGCGATATATGGGATTTCCATACCTTATAAGATAGTGTTAGTATAGCAGGCCTGACTCTCCAATCCTCGCTGTACCCCAACAGGGTGAGGTGTTCATCCTTTGTGTCAGCCACAATAGCTACGGAAGGAGTCTGATTCTGTAGCTCTATAATTCCTGTAGGTTTTGCTGAAGACCGGCAATTAGATATCAATACCTGATATCTTGGTCCAAATGGAAGGGCAAAAAATCTTATTTGTATTGTTAGAAGACGTAGTGCGACTGCACTGAAGCGAGGAATACGTATGCTTGAGGATCTTCCGTTGAAAAAAGCATACGTATCATCTGGTTCACTAGTATTAATGCGCATAACATTCTTTACTTCGACGTAGCTTTGGTGATAAACGTCCTTGATTCTATCCCCTCGAAAATCCAAATAAACTAACGATGAACACCCTGAAAAAAATAGTTCAAGTTTACTCACAATATTGTAACAACATACAGCTCAACAAACTTTCTAAGCTCACATGGTTTTTCGCACAAATTAAGGTCACATTTTTGTAATAGAAATTTCTATTTTCGAACCTCAGAACGATGACATAGCCCTACGTTATATTACATATATAATGTCAAGTATAAATGTCCTTTAAAAGTATTATCTTAAGTTTCCAAAGTGGATGTTTTAGAGTGGAATTTATCAATAAATGGTACGATGTTTCTACTATAGGCCTCTACCATAGGTTTTTTTTTTACAAATAATATAAAACGTGCTTTCTTTGACACAATGTAGTTGAAAATTTTAAATTTTCTTCTTAAAGGTGAAAATTTTTTAAAATTCTTTGCTCATTTACCATACTCATCTGGGTTTTGTCGAAATGTAGTACCGAAAAGGAATAACATTACAGAGAGAAACCCATACTACAGGGTAGGATAATGAAGTATTGTTTATTTTTTTGAATAGTAAATTTTTTCTATGAAAAGGAAAATTCTTCTGCATTTACGGTTTTAAATGTCAAAAATTTGCTATGGGGTGAATCTTTCATGATTCTAGATTTTTAGAAGGTGACTCTGAAAAATGCCACCTTATTAACATACAAAGCAGTCAATCAGATGAAAAACACTATTATCACCCTGTGTTAAAGAGTCAGAATGTACAGAAAATGCAAGTTACAGTAGCTGTATTGTGCCCGTGTCTATGTTTCTGCAAAGAGCTACTGCTTTCAAAAGAACGGATAGAATGACAGCTGCAATTGGCAAGACACTACAAACAATCACATGGAAATAATTGTTATTTATCAGCCAAGAATATATTAAAGTTCTAGTAATTGATTTGTATGAATTAAGTTTTAGTAAATGAAATTAAACTCAAATAATGTAAACAAATACTCTTAAAATGTATTTTGATGTCTCAACACACAATATTACATTATAATAACGTGACCTTAATTTGTGCGAAAAACCATGTGAGCTTAAAAAGTTTGTTGAGCTGTATATTACAAAATTATAAAATGCCATGCAATTTATTATTAAGTGTGCGTTCAGTTGATCAATAGTTTTTGTCTTTTATATATCGTACACATACATTTTGATACAAAAATATTAACATATGACATAATATTGATCTCTTACAAGCAACTTTCACTTATTTTTATCCCATGAACATTTTATGAAGATGTTAACCATGCATTAAGAATCAGAAAAAAATATAATTTTCTAGAATTTATGATAAAAAAAACCTACGTGATAGAATATAATCCTTGTCACTTCCACAACCGCAGATTGAGGGCTGGAAAATCGTCCCCTTTGCACAACTTTGTATTAAACCACTTTGGATAAATTTAGTGGGATCTCCATTAAGAGGGTAAAGTTTACAAACTGGAAAGTAAATGACGCGACATATACTCGTATAAATTCAAATGTTATATTCATAAAAATGAAGATCACAAAATATAAATTATCAAACGATGTAGAACATAGTAGTGCTATGATTATACCTGAACCTTCTGATGTAACCCATGGGGGACTTGTTTCTACTACTGTTGGCGATGTTGTTGTCGGAATATTCTGGGTAGAACATTCTAAGCTGCAGTATCTGCTTCTCGTACAGTTCTTAACTTCTGGGTCATAAGCATACCCCAGATCACAACACATTGCTATCGACTGCATGTTTCTGTTACACATGTAGAAGGTACGGCAGTTAAACTCACTAGGATAAGTAGAATCAGCAGGAAGGTTAAGGCATGGATCTACAAAACAGCATAAGTTTAACTTTAGTAGGGAAAATATTTGTCATTTGTGGCAAAATAACGAACAGTATTCGAGCTAAAAAGTCCATTAAACACTACAAAATAGGAGAGGAGCAAACGTGGACCCTCAAAACACATTAGAGGTGGTAACAGGTGCCATGGAGGAGTGAGCATCCCCTGCCCATCGATAACCATTCAAGATAAAACTGAAATGCATGGAAATAAAACCATGATGATATCTCTTGTATTCAAAAAGGTTTCCCTACTCAGACCAAAAGTAACATACCAGATTTACAAAGTACGTTGGACACTTTGTCGCAGGTGTTGAGGGAAGAACTCCAAAACGTTCCAAATGCACACTTCATCAATGTACAATGACAGGCGAAATTCCTGGCGTGGCAGTGTTTGTAGTGGGTACAGTCGTGTTCTAAATAGCAGGACTCCTCTCCTTTGCACATGTTTGCGCATGGTCCTTCAAATAAAGAGATGTAAAACTTCATTTCTATTATAATTTTACATTTCATGATTCATAAAGAGAAATGTTTCTATAATAATATCGTTTACTTGAAAATTATTTTGTCCGTATGAAATTGGAAACAATGCAATAATATACTACCTGTTGCTCTCTTCACCTCTAAAAAATAATGATTTCACATCAAATGAAGGTTTTTTTTACTTTAATGAAAAGCTCAAATATAAATAAGTATGAATAATTGATGAATTTCAAAATAACCTTGATCGCATTTGGGTCCCTCCCATCCTATATTGCACGTGCATTGATATGAACTGCCTTTTGTTTCACATACTGAATTCTTTGGGCAGGGATTGGAAAGACAAGGATCAATTCCTAGAAAAATGAAAGAATATATTCATTAAGAGTGTCAATGTAAGCTTAAAAAGAAAATAACATAATTATGCTTATTTAGAAAGGTATTCACTTATGAGATTGGATTTCTTATCTGAAGATATAGTCTGCAAAGGTTTGATTTTAGAAAATATCCTATAAATATTCTATTAGGTTTCTGAACTTCTTGTCTATCTGTCCATCCGTTGCTTTACTCTGTTGTGATCTGTTTGAATTTTGATGATCATTTCTTTTAAATTGAAATTGTTTTAAAAATGTTGTATGTTGGCTTTAAAGTCCCTTTAAAAATACACTGTAGTTCACTCATGTCTGGACACAATTAATTGTCGGAAGATTGTTAACCAGTAATTCAATGGTCATTTCGAAGCGAGGGAAATTAGTAGTTACGGGAAATTAGTAGTCACTATGACACGATGCCTAGGTTTTAACGATGGCATTTATTGATTGATTAATTGGTTGATTAATTGGTTGATTGTATGTTTGTTTTACGTCTCATTGAAAAAATTTTTCAATAATATAGAGGCGTCACCATTTACTGGTGAAGGGCTTCAAATTTTGGCCTTGACTCGGCACTCAGGGCCATTGAGTAGTGAGGGATCTTTATCGTGCCAACGCTTGCAGTGATAGGGGACCTCTGATTTTAAGGTCTCATCAGAGGGACCCGCAACTTGCACTTCAAGAGCCGAGCGCATGGTGAAGGAACAGTTGATACCCATTTTTATCGACTTAGGTCAGTCGAGGCCGAGATTCTAGCTCAAGATGTCCCGATTACGGATCGAGCTCTTAATCGACTGAGCTACCGTGAACGTAGCTGCAGATCTGTAGCGTTATGGTTTTATATATTTGTCTTTGACCATAACGCTACAGATCTCGTAGTGCAAAAAAGGCGCAATATTTTTTGCGCTCTTTTGGGGAGAATTTCTCAACTTCCTAGCATTGGTCAATCAACTACCTTTCACTCCCTAATTCTAGACACATTCTGTAGCCAATATGTATAGTTTATCCACCTTCCAACCATTTATAGTTGTCTCTACAGGCAATAAACTCGCTGGAAATGAATTTTCAGTAATCTAACAAATAATTTTAATCAAGCGAGTTTATCACTTGTACAGACGATTATAAATGGTTGGGAGGTAGATAAACTATACATATTGGCTACAGAATGTGTCTAGAATTAGGGAGTGAAAGGTAGTTGATTAACCAATGCTAGGAAGTGGAGAAATTCTCTCCAAAAGAGCGCAAAAAATATTGCGCCGTAAATTGCACCTTTTTTGCACTACGGGATCTGTAGCGTTATGGTCAAAGACAAATATATAAAACCATAACGCTACAGATCTGCAGCTACCGTGAACTGTATGCGATCTCATTTAACGACGTTGGATCCTGATATTTAAAGTCTTAAACTTTTTTGTTAAGTATATTTTTAGTTTCTACATACATAGCTTAATTAAAATTCAAATCAAAAAATGGGGGTCAATATGCTTCTTTTGGGCTACAGTACATTTAATATGACCTTTTTGCACTGAAATTCATGTCTTAATTAGAAATTACATCTTCGACGTTTTCCCTCGAATATTTCTATCCAATTAAAGCACGAAACAAAATGAACTCTAAGTCTATTTTAAAAAAAACACTTTAAAATTGTGACTAAGAAACAGTTTCAAATTGCTTCGCATTATCAATTATTTGACCTTTCTGCACTAATAAAATTTGATTTTTCTGGCATTGAAAATTAGATAAGCAAGAAAATTATTTTAAAGTCTTAAACTTTTTCTGAATTAAAGCAAATAGGTCAAAGTCATCTTAAATATTTAGAAAATAACATCAAAGGTGGGGGTATATGATGTAAATTTTCAGATATTACTAAAAGAGTGTCAGTTTCACGTTAAAATTGGCTCAATTTTTCCCCAGATTTTCAGAATATATTGACTATATTTATCACACTTCGTTGAAAGAATTCATAAGAAATAATTTAATAGATATTTCAGAACCAACATAACATATTTCACTGCAAAAAACAGCTTTGTGTGCAACCAGCATGGAAAAATAGGAATCTAAAATTAACAGTACTGTTATAGTTCAAAAGGGAAAAAACTGATCATTTTCTTCTAAAAAAACCTTCCGCCACAAAATATAGTCCCTAGCTTAATTCTACTTGAATGGAATTTAATCGCGGTTTTTTCATTGAATACAGTTCAGTTTGCATTGTAGAATTCTGATATAATCTTAGAACTTACAAATAATACAGAATTTTATAAATAAAGGACAGAACTAAAATCCACTCAAAAGCTCAGGATCGAACGTCCTTAAAGACTTTATTGTCCTGTAGGCCTAAAGGAATCTGTGATTTTAATTACAAATTTCAGTGAAAAAAGGCAGTAAATTTGGCTGTATACAAACTATTGAAAATTTGTTATTAACTCTACCTTAGACAAACAGACTACTATGTTGATAATTTCTCCTGATTAGAATAAAAATTAAATTCTCCTGAGTAGGATTAAAAATAATATTTCCTGTCTATTAGTAGAATTTAAAATAATTTCTCCTAACTAGAACTAAAAATAATTTGTTTACTTTTCTCGCATCTGAGCCCTTCCCAATCTCCATAGCAGTCACAAAAGTATGACCCAAAGGAATTGACGCATGATCCTCTGCCAGAACAGGGTCTGAATGACGTCACACACTCGTTGATATCTGAAAAATGATTAAATATTACCTAAATCTCAGATGCAGAAATTATGAATCGTAACAAATACATGTAGCTAGACTTATAAAACCTACCGCTTTAAGAAAATTAAGTGAAAACTTGACATTTAATCTTACATTTATTTTATTTTTGACAGTGAAGAAGAGTAATTTATTCGTTGAAAAAAGTATTAATTTTTGTCATATTTGGTGAAAGTTTTTGGAAAAAATAAACCAAAACACACCTATATCGCAGAAGTCACCCTCGAATCCTTTGGAACAAATGCATTGGTAATTCTGAGTTGTCAAGTTTAGAATACATGTTCCATTATTTTTACAAGGTATTTGATTGCAGAAGAGTTTCACTGAAAGAATATAACCCAAAGATATATCATTTAGACCAATTTCTGTATAGAACAAAACTTAATTAAGTGCAATCATTAATAATGTAGACAAGACTTCCTGACTCACGTCATTTGCTCATGATAGTTACATCATATGATATTTATTTTTACCGATAGTTTTACTATTTACTATACATTATGTATTGTAATTTTAATTAAATATAATTGTTTTCGGTAGTAATTTACCATTCACAGAGCACCTATATTCAAAGAGCACCTGCAGAAATTTACCTTTCATAGAACATAAGAATTTACCTTTCACAGAGCACCGGGGCCCTTCCCATCCAGAATCACATGTACATTTAAAACTCCCTTGAGTGTTAAGACAGCGACCGTTCCCCAAACATGGTGATGTGATGTTCATACACTCATTAATATCTAAAAAAAAAAAAAAAAAAAAAAAAAAAGTAAAAGAGTAGTCCCTTTAAGTAAAAAAAATCACTCATATTTCCTGAAGTATATAAAATGTAATACATATTTTATATCTATGGATTTTTCAGTTTTCCTGATCATGATTATCACACTGCGGGTGTGACTGAATGACAGGAGATGCTGACTTTTCTATCGCCTCTGATGTTTTGGAGGTCTGTGTTTAATACTCTGCTGCTGATTTGTATTGTTTGAATATGAGACTTTACAGGTTGAATACTGTTTGTTATCCCCATATTATATTCATTTTTATCTTTGTGATTTAAACGTAAATTCTTGATTCAAAAATTATTAAGTTAAGATACTGTATACAGGTCTATTTTCGCCCCGTGTTATTTTGCCCTTTGAACTAGTGAACAATTTTGCCCCGTTTTAAATTCGCCCAGCCAAAGCTCTGTATAAGAAATTATGAGGTGCAATTTGAATTCGCCCCGTTTTAAATTCGCCCAATCAAGGAGAGGGCAAAAGGGTCGAAAATAAAACGGGGGCAAAAATTCCCCTGTATACAGTACTGATTTTTACCAAGGTATTATTTTCAGAGTGATTCTTTATGATCATGTGTAAGCGAAGATGAAATGCAAATATGATACAATTATTTAGGCAATTTAACAACATTTCTGTTTTCTTTGAATGAAAAAATATTACTGTAAACCAACTTTAATTCGCGTGCGAGAAATTTTCGAGAGAATCTAGTCACTGCGAATGTTTCTCGCCGCGAACCGATCGATCCTTAAGGCCCCTGTGTCTATAACCAAGAATTCAACAACGAAAAAATACGTGACCACAAAAATTTATCATCACGAACTAGTTTACCGGCGGTAAATCGGGAAAAAGTTGTCGCAAATAAAATTGGTTACAGTATTTAAGGTCTTCCGTTTCCAACGGAAGACCTTCTACTGATTCTGATGATTAAGATTATTCTTATTATTCTTTTTTTTTTTCTTCCTAGACGCGAACTTTGACGCTTCATATCTTGCTCATTCCTGAACGGATTTTGTTCAAATTTTCAGAGGTTTTAGACTTTTTAAAACCCTTTTAGAATATTGTTTCACAATTCAAAAATTACCTTCTATTAACGAGTTATTGCCCTTTGATTGAATTTTTCTTACCTCCGATTTCCAGACAAAGGCTCAGAAAAGATAATAATTGGAGCACAAAACCCTTTTAAATCGAGGAAAGGAAGCATTGAAGTTGTGCACATCGGTTTTTGTTTTTTGATTTTTGCATAAAAAATGGCACTAGAGAGGGGTCAAAAGTTAGAACGCGGAAAACAGCAAAAAATTCGACATATTTTCCTTTATATCTTAAAAATTAAAAATATTTTGTTAAGACATGTAGAACAAAAGTTGTGCATAATTGCAAGGGCTTTCATGTAATACTATTCAAAAGGGGCTGGCCCCTATAATTAAGGCTCTATTGAACTTGAAAGGTTTTGCTTTATAACTCAAAAACGGTAAATGTTTCGATCTAGATCTTACGAACAAAATTGTTCTTTTACACCTTTTTGATCTGATGAAAATGCTGTTTTGTTCGATTATGCCGGGAATATTGCGTAATACGCGGTAGAAAGCAGGCAAGGTAAACAGGTAGCGTTTTTCCGATTACATTCACCATGTTTGTTTACAATTATATAACACGCCTCCCTCGATAGCGCGGGCCAAAGTCGGTCACCGGGAATCAATCGGCGGGTAATCCAGCGACCCACAGTTATACACAAAAAAAACACAGAATGGTTAAATTCATTTTTAAGCGGTTAGCTTCGCTAGCCGCTATATGGCATGTGTCGGCAACCGGAAACCTCCATAAGGCGCTACCTATCGGCATCGCTTTATCGCTCGTAACCTTATCCTTCTGCAACCAAAACCGGAAACTTCCACAAGGACCTACCTATCGACAACGGTAACTTCAGCAAATGATTTGTATACTGTCGGCGTAATACGCCCCCTGGTTAGAGATTGACAATATGCTGTGAAGTCTGACTAAAGCCAGCCCCTACTACATGTATATCACTTCGTACTAACGAAGTATATGCTGTGTATGAAGAGTGGCTATTATAACGATTATATCGAATTCTTATTAGTATATTTACCAAAGCATTGACAATACTTACAACACTTACTTTTAAGAACTGAGAATTTGGTCCTTATTACATGTGTATCGCGCGATCGCGATTTCTGGCAACTGTTAGTTTATTTTTGAAAGTTTATTATACAGCAGGTTGGAGGTTATTACAGACTGCAAAAACATCAGCAAATCTCTCGATCGAGTTTGATTTTCCTTGCCAAAGTATTAAGAAACACCATTTATTAAGTTAATACCTGAAAAGCGCTTTTATAAAAACACCGAACGCATCTGTAAGTTTTACACTTTTTGTAACGTTTTATGGAAACAATAGGGTTACCTCCACTATGAAACGTTTGTTTTTCTTCTCTTTTCTTCTCTGTCTAATAAACAGATTATAAAAGCTCTGCTCCCAGGGATAAATTCTCTACTCCGTCTTTGATAATTTATAACAATCGATCATAAGGGATTACTTACTATTAGTTTTGTAAAAAATAATGGAGCACTTAAAGTAGTAAAATCAATTTTGAAAAAAAATGGAGAAATATATATTAATTTTAATCAGCATTGTGATCCTCATCTAAAAATCAACCGATATTATTTTCACAGAAGAATGAGGTATGAAAAATTTTGGCAATTAGCAAAAATTTAAAATATATACTTAATTCTTATTTATAAGTTTTGAAAATTTGATCAATTCCTAGGGAACGTATTATTAGCTGTGAAAATACTTTTAAAATTTGAATTTGTCCAATTTGTCGATTATTGTTTTAAACGTTTGAGAAGAATAAAATTAAAATACAGGTGTTTAGAGGCACATTGATAGAAAAGAAATCAGTGTATATTGTTTAACCGACATATTGAAGAAAGTGACACTGATAACTTCTTAAGTTACACTGATTTTTAATGTACATTTGAATTTTTAAATACTAGTATTGATTGATTACATAACTTTCTTTTTCATGTTTTATTTGAGAACAATATTGCATGAAGAGTATATGATAAAAACACCTTATATGTCCTTATCTAGATATTGTGCCTTATATTGTGCAAGACTTCTTTCAAATGATTCTCATATACCATTTACTTTATTCGAACATTTACTTGTTTGAAAAGTCAATAAAATATATTTCATAAAGCTTGATAATCTTGTTTACTCGCCAGTCTTCCCGTAGAAGTAGAAGTTTATAATATTACTAAAGGAAGTATTCAGTATCTGTATCAAAATACAGAATGATCGATTTTAGAAGAAAAGCTGACTCCTGAAAGTTCAAGAGGTGGGATCCGTTGCCTAGAAAAAGTAAGCATCCCTCGTTGACAGGTTAATTATATTGCCGCGATGAGCCTACACAACTGAATCTCTCTGATATCAATTCATTTACAAAGTCTCTCCTCAGCCGTCCTTTTTTCTCTGACTAGCCAGCTGTAGATCTACACTACTCAAAATCCATTAATCTAAAGAATTTAACTTGTCATTTTTTTAGTTGTTTGTTATAGTAGGCTTTACAATTACCTAATTTCAGATTCAATAGAGAATAAAAGACAATGAAATTTTCAACATCAACATAATTTTTTTTATCCAGAGAACAATTGGATGTCATCAAGAGAGAATTTTTAAAAATGCACTTCCTGTCTTTCAAACTGAAGAAATCTCATGTTTAAATTTTGAAACATGCATTTCAATCTTATTAAAATTTATTTAAATGTTCCAAATCCGCTACCGCTTCTGAAACATCTAACATCCCATTCGGGGTCACATCAGAGCGACCTTTCAATTATGAATACATGTACAAGTAAACACAAACACTTTGGCCATGTAGATTCAAGCCTCGGTAAACAGTTCTCAAATTAATTCCACGGCTACATATCATCATTATTGATACTGTCTTACGTTGAATTAAAGTAATTTTGGAATAAATTTCATGTATCTTCTGCAGTCTGGCATCTAAACGTGAATAATGCAAACGAAAGAGCACAAACTATACAAGATACCCCACACGTCATACATAACACAACTTTTGCAATGCATATCTTTTTACTACAAAACTCCTCGGGTGTTTTGGTTGGGTGGTGAAAACAAGAAACCCATCTGAACTATTAGCCAGGATTTCGGAGGAACCATTTTCTTTGCCTAATCGAAGATTCACTCTTACATGACCCCAAATAGGATGTTGTAAGATGTTTGAGAAGCAGTAGCGGATTCGGAACATCTAATTTTAATTAGATTGCATCCATCTGTGACATCCGTTTGGAATGTTATTGGTTTTACTATTGAGTAAAGTATTACAAAAACGGAATGTCTGGGTTTTTCTTCTCTGATGACATTGGACAAAGATATGCATATTTAAATATCATCATTTTATGCACTTTTTCGGTACATATTAGATGAAAGCATGCTAACCGCTTTTCAGTACTTTCAGTACTTTGATTTTAATATATAGAATTGTACCTTAATACTATCTCGATCTGTCCTATGAAAATATTATTTTGTTCGAGTCTTACGTATTATAGGAAAGAAAGCTAGACAGTTCTCATCTTGCTATTGAAGGAAAACTCTGTAGTCTTTATGCGCAGAATTGAAGTAAACTTGCTGTACGTAATAAATATTTTACAATGCTGTATCATAACTCTTTTTTTAATTAGGTTTTAAACGTGTTCTTTGGTTCCCGTTCAGAGTATTCAATGGCATCATTTTCCTTTCATTAATCAAGATCTTTCCAAGAGAAAGAGTTTTAGAAAAAAGCACGAGTATCTTTTCTTCGTTAAAATATGAACACAAACAATATGAACGAAAACGATACACGCCCGGATCTCATAAAAAGAACTTTTAAAGAGTCAAATAATACAAAAATTATTTACTGCGCAATTCTCACATTCACCTGGA